AAGATAGATCTAGAGGGGACTTAAGAAAATTTAGAGAAGGAACCTAAGGCTATACCTTAGGAGTTATCTAAAATTCCACCTTAGGGAGAATCTATAGGATTAGCTAACCTAGATACTAGCTATTAGGGACCTACCCTAAGGAGCTAAGCTTAGAAAAGGAGAAGGGATCTAGATAATAAAGGAGACTAGAGTATAAAGTACTATAGGTTATTTATCTCTATAATATTCTATCTAGATCTAAGTATAAGCTAGGCTAAGGAATTTTTAAATAATATAGAGGAGCATACATTTACTATAGTAGGCCTAACTATTACTATATAGTAGTAAGTACTAATCCCAAAAACATATAGGGAAGCTATATCTAACCCTACCTAGGGTTATATATAGAGAGAAGCAATCTAAAAGGAGCTTTAGGCTTTAGAGATAAACAACACTTAGGAGCTAGCTGTGCTACTACAGGGTACCAACCTAGTTACTTCTAAGTAGGTCTTTAATATAAAAAGAATAATTAGTAGAGCTATTAAAAAGTTTAAGGCAAGACTAGTTATAAGAGGGTTTTTATAGAAGTTTAGTATTAACTTTATAGACACCTTTGTACCTATAGTCAGGCATAACACACTAAGAGTGTTTATAGTAACTGTATGTGAGAAGGATCTAGAACTGTACTAGATTGATATAAATAATGCATTTACTAAAAGTACCCTCTTAGAAGACATCTACATAATCCTACCCCTAGGTGTTAAGATTCCTCTAAACATAGTCCTAAAGATTCTAAGGAGCCTATATAGACTAAAGCAGGTAGTAAGAGATTGGAACAAACTCTATGTTGCTAAGCTAGAGCAGATTAGGTTCATATAGTTAGAAGTGGACCTATGCCTTCTTATCTATAGGGGGAGGAACATAATAGTCCTTACCTATATAGATAACATCCCTATTACAGCTCTAAAGCTGTTAGATATTCTCTGGTTTAAGGGAGAGTTTAGAAAGGTCTTTAGAATTAAAGACCTTAGGGAACCTAAAAAGATCCTTAGTATAAAAATTATAAGGGATAGAGTGTAGGGCACTCTAAAACTTAACTAAGGATATTTTATCCAAACAAACCTTGCTAAGATAAGCATAACTAAAGACAAGGCCTATATTACATACTTACCTCTAGATAGCTATAAGAGCCTAAAACCTTTAGGCCTCTAGGATAAGAGGTGTAACAAACAGGAGTACTAGAGTTACACTAGTACCTAGATATAGCTAATAATAATAACAAGGCTAGACATTGCTTTCCTACTTAGGAGACTAAGCTTATATATTGTAGACCTATTAAAGCAACATATGAAGGCACTAAAGAAGCTTGTAAGGTACCTAAGATTATACCTAGATCTTAGCCTTTACTATAGGAGAGGAGGAGGTTGCCTTTAAGGCTACTCTAACTTAGACTATATAATAGACAAGGTGGACAGAGTGTCTGTCCTTAGGTATGTCTAGTTCCTTTGTAGCTTACTAGTCTCCTAGATAAGTAGAAAGCAAAAGTCTATTATAATATTAACTATAGAAGCTAAGTATATAGCAATAAACTCGTATATAAAGCAGTTACAGTTCCTGGCTGCATTGCTTCGTAAGATAAGCTATCCTAAGCTTGTTAGAGAGTGCCTATTTCAGCCAAAGATTAAGGCTAACAATAACACTACCTAATCACTTAGACCTATCCTTATTAAAGGGGACAATCAGTTAGCTCTAACCCTTGTTAAAGATGCTTATATCTATAAGAGATCAAAACATATTAATGTTATATACAACTTTGTTAGAAATCTTTAGTAGTAGAGGAAGGTTATAGTAGAGTATTACCTAACAAAAGAAATAGTAGCTAATAGACTAACTAAACCCCTAAATAGTCTACAGTTCCAGAATTTTGTAAAGCAACTCTAGCTAGCCTAGTAAAAGGAATAGCTAAACTAGGAATTGAACCTAGGTCTTTAGAACCCTATCGTACACTCTAATTATTAGACAGAGCCTAAGAGCGCGGGGACGCTTCGTGACCCCTAAACCATTTGGCCAGAACTAAGAAGTATACTAATTAGGTAATAGAAGACCTAGAGTTTGTTCTTATATTGCTTTAGTTAAAGGGTTTTAATTCTTTCCTCCGGACCTAAGTAGGAGTGTTATGAAATGGTAGCTTAGGAGGAAAGTAGGAGTAGGCCTAGTAGTAAGCTAAGTGGTTACGTAACTAGGTCACGTAACACGCCAAGCTTAGTAATAACAGCTAGAAGGGGGAGAGCGGGCTTCTCTCTCTCTTACCTTCTACTACCTTTACACTAGACTATCTTAGATACCTCTATATAAATTAGGTCCTTCTTCTTCGATTATTAAGTCCTTACTTCCGCTACAAACTACGTAACATATCCTATTCTTAATATCTACTATAGTAAAGAACGGGTTCCTAAGGCCGCATTTACTATAGCGGGGCTTATCGCTATACTCTTTAGTATAATTAAGAGTATAATCTACCTTGTTAGATATGTAGAAGTCTTCCTAGAAGTTAGTAGAAGAAGCTATAATAGACGTATATAGAAAGATAAGACGTAGTATTAAGGAATGCAACGTTACGAGTCTACTACGAGTATATACGAAGCTTTATAGAGGCTCCCTAGTAGTAGTAAAGACGGTTCTCGTACGATTAGACGGCTCGAGGCTATTTAAGCGAGTCGGCGCGATATACTTAGCGAGTCGTCTACTAGTATCTAGGTACTACTTAGCTGCTCCTCGGAGGTACTAATAAGCGTGTATGTAAAGCTTCTTAGGCCTATTACCGAATCCGGGTTCGCTACCTTTAAAGGTTAACGGGTAGCTAGCGAGTACGAGCTGTTCGTTCACCTATTATAGAGTTGTCGGAGGCAGGTATAAGCTAAGGTCTATATGTAGCGAGGCGTAGTTAGCGTAGGAGTAAGAGAGAGGTAACTCTATAGGCGGGTAGCTAGAGCTGCGAGTAACTACGAGTATAGCTAAATTAGCTACGAGTACGGTCTAATTTCGAGCTACTTACCTAGTACTAATATAGAAAGCTCTTTAATTACCCGCGGAGCTTACTATAGCCGTCTATCCGGTTTATCTACTACTTAAGAGCAGTACTCGCTAGACTCTTAGGGTTAATTAGATGCCTACGCTAGGTAGTGTCCTCGAGCTCTAGATACTCGTAGAGCAAATCCGGTACACTACTAACATAGCTCTTAAGGTTTTGTACTCGTACCGGGTGCCGATTCTACTCTAAGACAAAGTAACTAACTATATAGCGCATAATTAGAGTATAGATTACGAGGAAGGCGACTCGATTAGATAGCTTAGCGGCCTCGAAAAGGTGTAGGTTAATATACTAGTTAAATAGGTCTCTCTAGCGATTTATAGCTAATTTAGCTATCTCGCCCTACTAGTACTTAATAGTCTAATTGCCTTTGCTCGTAGTATATAAGAAGGCCTTAATAAAGTCGATATTACGGCCCTCGATAAGCTCTCGAAGCCGTAGATAGGCGTCTACTAGCATAGGTGTCTCGACACCTTAATTAGAGCGGACTCGCTAAGGGACTCGCTAGATATAGTTAATTACAGTATAGTACTACGAAAACACTAAGTACTTTGTCTTTACTATTAGGCTAACGTAGAACTAGATAATCCGGCGTAAGTAGACGTTAATATAGGCGTAAATCTAAATGCCGAATTGCTCGATTTTGTAGAAGGCATTAATTGACTAGACGTAGTCAGGCCTATTAGCTTTTAGTCGTACGTGCCGTAGCCTATTTAGATAGCGATTACGTAGTTCGCGAAGCTTATATAGTAGAGCGTTGATTTGCCGTGAAATCCGGTAGATACGGTCCCTAGTAGGCATTAGTATAGTAAGAAGAGGGCTACGAGTCGGCTGCGAGTCGATTCCCTACCTACCTATAATATACTAGTAGGTTCTTAACTCTCGTACGAGCTTACGATAGCTAAAGTCTTAGGTTTGCCTATTAATTAGTACTACTCGAAGCACCTTATCGACGTAGGTAGTAGCTACTTCTAATTCCTCGTGTTCCAGTCGACGCTTAAGGCCGTAAGTACGGCGGAGCTCTTAATACTACCTTAAAGAGATATTATAGCTATTAAGCCGTAGTATAGTATAGCTCTTCTTGTCGCTAATAGTATACAGCTAGAATAGCTCGGTAATCCGCTCAATTAGTACTACGTTACTACTATAGTTAATTCGAGGGCGAGTAGTTACTCCCTATCGCGATAAGTGTGTCTATAGAGTTCTAATACCGTAGCGAATGCCCTTAGTATTATGTAGGCTCTATACGACTCGCTAGTAGGTATATCTAGCATAAATCTAAAGCTTAATCTAGAGCCGATAGGGCTGTAAATCGAGGGCCTAAGGCGGCATAATAACAAAGTAGACAATAAAGGACCTAATAGATAGATTGCGAGTCGATAGCGAGTATATCAGTACCTAACCACTACGATTACGGTGTGTGAGAGTGTGGTGGTACGGTAGCAAAACCGGCAAAACCATTTTGCGGATTTGTAAGCTTAGGCCACCGCCCCCGGCACCTGGCAGCCTTCACCTTTCCTATATGGTGGACCCCGCTCCGCTAGGGACTACTCGTCCGCTAGCGCCGAACTAGCGTTCGCTGAGTAAAGTTCTTTCCATTTGAGGCTCAAGTGACCTTGACAGACACATTGTGCATCATGCCATGCTTCTGGATTCCTCGCAACAAGCCGACATGATCGTACGAGCTTTGCTTTTGCACAGTCGTCCCTACACGCCAGCCACCATTCGGTCTTCGCCGTGCATACCACCGCCAAGACAAGACGATCGAGAACAGGTCTTGGGCTGGACATGGCTCCAGCGCATTCAGCCCGTGAGGCAACGCACTTTCCGGACTTGATCTGGCACATTCTGCGCGGTGCGGTACGTTCGTGAGCCACATCCACGACTTCGTCTCTCACTCTTCTCCTCTCTCCGTCAATTGTTCCGCACAATGGCGGCTCTCTCACGCTTCCACAGTCGCTTCGCCCAGCGGCCCATCATATTATTTTCCATCATTCTCACCATCTTCTTGACCTACATCTCCCTCACAGAGATCACACTTCAAGAAGCCCCAAATTCCATTCAATGGCACCAGAGCCTCTGGAAGAGCGCGAGAAAAGCTGCGCACGACCTGGCCCAAAGCTCTCGAGCAGCATCGATACATAGCTCAGAGATTCCCCAGTCACCACTATCCACAGAACGCAAGAACGGCCGGATGAACGCAACTTTCGTCTCTCTCGCTCGAGATTCCGACCTTCCAGGCCTCCTACAAAGTATCAGAGACGTAGAAGACCGCTTCAACGTGCACTACAACTACGACTGGGTCTTCCTCAACGATGACGATTTCACAGAAGAATTCATCAAAGTCACATCGGCTTTCGTCTCCGGTCGTGCACGGTACGGCAGGATCTCAAAAGACCAATGGTCCCTCCCATCCTTCATAGACGAGAAGAAAGCCGAACAGACCCGGATCGACATGAAAAATGTCAAGTATGGCGATAGCGCATCTTATCGTCACATGTGTCGCTACCAGTCTGGGTTCTTCTACAAACATCCACTGGTAGAGGAATACGAGTGGTACTGGCGTGTAGAACCGGATATCAAGATCTCCTGCGATGTCCCCTACGATCCCTTTCGCTGGATGGCTGAGAATGGGAAGAAATACGGTTTCGTCATCTCCCTGAATGAAATCTCCGCGACGGTTCCAAGTCTATGGAACACCACCAAGCGCTTCATTAGAGATTTCCCTCAACACGTCACGAAGAATAATAATATGGCGTTTCTATCCGAAGACGAAGGCGAGACGACGAATTATTGTCACTTCTGGTCGAATTTCGAAATCGCCAATCTGAATTTCTTCAGGAGTCAGGCGTACAACGACTTCTTCAATTATCTGGACCATGCGGGAGGGTTCTTCTATGAGCGATGGGGGGATGCTTCGGTGCATAGCATCGCCGCCTCTTTGATGTTGGAGAAAGGAGAGGTTCATTATTTCAATGACATTGGGTATCGACACAGCCCTTTGACGAACTGTCCGAGGGATCAGAAGACGTTCCTGGAGAGAAGATGTCTTTGTGATGTGGGGGACAATATGGATTGGAGTCCTTCTTGTGAGTTACTGTCCTCTGAATCCATTACGATGATCCCTTTGCGCTGACGCTGGAGTGGTAGGCACCAAGCGGTTTTTTGAGACAGCGGAGCTTCCGTTTCCCGAGGGCTTTGATTGAGACTTCCCTCGAGAGATCGGTGTACCGCCTGGAGAGATCCTTGATACAGAAGAGATATTCGTTTTGGGTTAGCGAGATGACGGGTACTCGTCAATGCACTACGACTCTTTAAACGGAAATGCGATGATGAGAAGCAAACAAAAAAAGCCGGGCATACTGTCAGCGCGGTAGAGCATTCAACGAACGACCTTCCACCCGATCATCATTGCAGCCGTGGTGAGCTCTTGTGAGATGGAGGACCACATAGCATCCAGAATGCAAGTCGAGAGTTGTATATATTGCCCTTCAGGAGATCTCAAATCGTTTGACGAGAGAGCCTCCCGTTTTGCTTCCAAGACCCATTTACCAATGTTCCTCAGTACAGATCCGACTCTCTCGATATCGATCAAAGTAAAGCTGTGAAGTCGCAACACCGCTCCGATCGTCCTCTTCGCGAACACGATCTTGGTCGGATTTGGTGACTTCGGATTCTGGTACGCGATTCCAGACGTGTCTCCCTTCCTCTATCGCTTCAGCAACTCGCTCGCTGGAAGTGCGAGATACAGCTGAAGCCTTATGTGAGGATCCGTTATTTGAGCGGCGTTGATTCCACTCAAATGCTGATCTCGAACGCTCACTTGACTCCCTGCTGCGGACTTCTGTGGTGCTGTTGGCAGGGCGATACTGCTCGTAGTAGCCTGAGCCGTGAAGAGAAGCCTGAGTGCGGGACTCGATGCGACGGTGTGGACTGCTTCGCTGATCGCTGTGGCGACTGTGGCGACCACTGCGGACACCGCCTTCGTCTCGATGTACCGTGCTTTGCCGAGAGTCAGAAGAGACTGTCTTAACGCGGCTGTGTTGGCTACTGCGCGGATTGCTATGCCAGCTATCACGTTCGCCTTGATCGCTGTCATCTTGCGGATACCCGTGACTGCGTCTTGAGCGTACTGACGCCATTCGCGGGCTGCTGTGCTCACTCTCAACAGTAGGAGCACGATAGCTGGTGGTTCCAGCTGCCGAATGTGCCTGCTCAGATAAATCTCCCTCAAATCGCTCACGATCCAGATATTCACCACCCCAGCCTGCAAACTTGTACCGCCTATCAGCAAGCTTGGCGGTCCTACCATGACTGCTTTCTGTATGCGAGAAGTTCCGATGCATCCTCAGTCCTCGCTCCTGCATGTCCTTCCACTCCTCATAAGTCATGGTCGCACCTTGCGGAAACGCCTCGCTGGGGAGGATGATCTTCGATTGGGGCGGAGACGCCATCTCAGTGGGCGAACGACTGAGAGGATGCGGCGATATCCAACCTTTCCCGGCGAATACGGTCGGAGGTCGCTCGTACGGCTCTTTGACTGGCGACTTGGCTCTGCTACCAGATTCGTCAATACCGAAAGCTGGGAAAGGCTCTGTCCTGGTTAACTTGGAGCTTTTGCGAGAAATGGACACTTCCTTCCACCCATGTTTGCTGGGTCTTGTCGAGTGGATGTGGGCAGTGGTAGACGACCCCTGAGAAGCACGTTTCTTGGCTACAGAATGCTCACTTCGTTCAGAGCGTCGGGCGCCACGCCCGCTTGGCTGAGATGACGCTGCCGAGTGTGGTTGATGTTTGATGTGTGATACCGGTCTCCAATCACCAGCGCTCACATCATTCGCGGCCCAGCCTTGAGCAGATATCAACGGAGATGGGGCATGCTCTTCTTGGATCTCTCGCCAACCCGATCCGACCTCCTCAAAAGTCAACCCAGAAGGCGGTCTGGAATAACGGTCTACTGCTACATTCTGTGAGACAGTCCGCCGGCTGTGGCGGCTATGGCGACTGGACATTCCCGCTGAAGACTCCGCTGCCCCCTTGGGCTCCGCAGTAGCATCATAGATTGGTGCTTGATGTTCCAGAGGGTCGTTCAAGTGTCTTGTGTGGTGAGAGCTAGCCCTTGAGTGTTTTCCAGCTGACAAGCGCGCGGAATTAGATCTTTCAGGATCGATTTGCAACCAGGAAGCATTCGCAGATGATTGTATAGATCGTCGCTCTGAGCGTCTTGAGGAGAATTGACGAGTACCGTTACCGCCCCATTCGTCTTCATTCACTACCGCTGGATGAATATTCCAAGCGACATCGAAGTTTTCAGAGCCGACTGACTTTTTCGATACGCTCCTCTGGGACGCGGATTCATTCCATTGAACGTTTGCAGATTGACAGCTTCGTCTAGAGGCGGCTCGCAGATGTTCTTCAGCCACAGACCGCACAGATGCGGTCTTGGTGACGGGAGACTGCTCGATCCAACCGTCGTTCGTCCCACCAAAGCCATACGCAGAGATAGCTTTGGAACGAGCCGCAGATCGTGCGCGCACAGATGATGCGGCTTTTGAGTCTGCCTTGCCTCCGAGACTCTTGGACTCTGTCTCTGGCATCGGCCACTGGTCTTGCACCTCTTCAAACCCATGTAGAGAATATTGTTGCGACTTGCTTGTTGACTTTGCTGATTTCGAGCTGCGGTTCGAAGCAGCCGGCCCTGTCCAGCCTTCACCTACCTCTTCGAAGATCATAGCAGGCTGAGGTACTTCCGAATGAGCTTTGGAGGGCACGGCAGATTCCACGGTCGGCTGCAAGCTCCTGCAGCTCTCCCTGACCTTTGAGTGAGATGAAACATGGGCGTCGAGAATGCCTTCCCAACCACCGCCGGATGCCTGAGCGGAATGGTTGGAAGCTGACGTATTACCAATCTCCTGTGGACCATCAGGAAGCGCACCAGACATGAGCGCCTCGGCCGCGGTCGCCGCAGCTGCAGCTCGATCCTCTTCGTTCTGCTGTTGCTGCTGCTTATTCTTCTTCTTTTGTTGCTTCGTCTGCTTCGGATCTGTAGCATGCTGCTGCTGCTGCTTTGTGAGCTGTGGCTCATCCTTGGGTTCCGGTGCAGCCTCTTCAGCTACCATCGCGAGCGGCAGATTCGAAATCTCCACGAATGCCTCTTCACCATTCTTTCCCTTGATGCGTATCGTCGTGCTACTTCGAGTGCTGGCAATGGACTTCGCGGACTCGGGATCTGGCTGTGCAACTTTTGGGTCCGGTCGTTGTATTTTCCCCTTTCTTGCGGTCTCTCCCGCACCTTTGCTTTTCTCTTGCACCGGAGGTTTCTCCTTCTGGGTGCCTTTTTCACCGACTCGATTTCCGCCAGAAACATTGCGCGGGATGTAGAAGCCCTTCTGTGCTGCTGTACCTCGTTCGGGGAACGCGTCTGCTGCGTTATCACCTTCTCCATTATTTACCTTGTCTGCTTGTGCCGATCGCCGTCTCTCGTCCACCGTGGCTTTGTAGAGCTTCTTCAAAAGACCACCATCAATCGGCTTGATCCTCGCTTCGCTGGCAGGAGCCTCGCTGAAGCTGTCCTCGAATGCTGCAAGCGACTTGACAGCAGGTGTTGGTGGCACGGCGCCAGCATGCTGTGGCTCATGTCCCCGTCGCGGACGAAATTCGGCAGTATATGCGCCTCCTATTGGTAATGCCCAGACTGTAGGACATCTGTCGTCGATGAAAGAGCCCATACCGCTGTCGACTTCCCACTGACGCTCGCGAGCAGCCTCTTACATTCACTTGAGGTTTTGACGCTCGATGTGTGCTTTCGTTTCCGTCAGATGGTGTTCAGGCTCTGCAGTTCCTCGATTTGGATGGCGCGATGTACCGGAGCAAAGTTGCGCTGGAAGATATCGGGTACGCGGGTTCTGCGACGGCTTCGAGTGCGCCTCTCCAATGTTGGCCTATGCAATGCCAAGGTTGTAATGTAGTTTTCGAAGGTGTCTGCTTCCGGTTGCCGCCGTGACGAGACATCCGGATCTGCTGACTCGGAAAGGCTGGAGTACAAGGCGGCCTCGAAGTGAATTGCAGGGAAGCAAATGCATTTTCTCCGTTGTGCGATTCAAATCCAAAGAGGTCCTCTCGAGGTTCTGCCTGAGGCATGTCATTCACATGCGAAAAGTTTGAGTTTTGAACATTAGCTAGCGTCGAGTGGTTCGTGGCCACTCAGAACCGCAGGCTCGTCGGCGACGAGGCGTGCTGGACGTCTCAGCGATGGTCCGAGCACGACGCAGCCTTTACGCGAGCCTCCAAGCCCTACAAGCGAGTCCAATGAAGCTCGGACGCTGTGCGTGTGCCACACGGACAACCTGCTCGAGAAGCCTGTCTGTTACAGTATACAGTCGGTACTTACTTACATGCTGGGTATCGTTATCTCATCAAAGTCATATTCATCCCTCTACTCACAACTTCGCCTTCTCCCTCGTCTTTTCCTTTTCCCAAGCCCTCTTAATCCACCAACTCCTCACATATGACCAACCCCCGCTTAGCACCGCCAGAGGCGGGCACAACAGCAAAAGGTACGACCACCACTGTGGATGTGCCCTCTTCACTTTCCCCATAACCTCATCAATCTGCTTCTTCAATTCCCCCTTGTCCCCATCATTCCAAACCACCACCCCAGCCTCCTCCCCCCTCCTCAAACAACGCTCCGCCTTATCCCGGACATCCCACTGCGCCGCAACACGATTCTTGGCGTCCTCCTCGGTAAGGAAGGAATCGCGTGCTCGAAGTCGGGACATTTGGATTTTCGGGTCGGAGACTGCCACGACGAGGATTGTGCCACAGAGAGGTTCCCAGCCGGATTCGAAGAGGAGCGGGACATCCAGAACAACGGCCCAGGAACCTTTCAGATAAGCGAGAAGCATTTGTCTGTACATTTCCGTCCGTACTGCCGGATGAACGATCTTGTTCAATGCTTTTCTATCCTCATCTTTGCCTTCGCCGAATACCCTTCTTCCCAGTGCTGGTCTGTTCAATGGTCTTCCTTTTCCACTATGCCCATTCTCGCCTCCGTTCTCAGGCGTAGGAGGTAATAGCAGATCTGGCGTGGAAGGACCGAAAGTGGAGAGGATCTTTTTGTAACCTGACGTTCCCGGCTCGACAACTTGGCGGGCTATCTTGTCGGCGTCGACGATGGGGAGATTGTAAGGCGGGGAGGCAAGGATTTGGGAGACGGTAGATTTACCCGTGGCAATGCTGCCTGTGAGGCCGAGCAGCAGCATCTCGAACAGCAAGTATAGAGAGAAGAAGTGGATGGTTGAGCTCTGATCGAAGGGACGGGATGAAGCTGGTCTGGTCTCGGTGTGCAGTCTCGCTGCCCCTTCAACCGAGGTCCCCGAAACGACGTCACCCCATCAACGCGCCCACTAAATATTGAATGCGAAAAGCTCCAATCCCAAGGGATGATAGGGATTTAATCTACCGACAGTAAACCGTATAGAGAGGAAGCCGTAGGCTTTTTGTTTCATTTGTTAACCAGACATCGCTTCGACACGCGAAGAAGGAACCAGCCCGAAGCGACCAGCAAGATCCGCAAGCAGCGACAGGAAGTAAAGGAACACGGGTCAACAGTAAATGCCAGGAAAGCAAGAGCGCGACTATCAAAGGAGACTTGATTCTTCATCGTATCTTACCCGCGCCACCTGGCACGACAACAAGGGATATCAAACCAGTTGCTCAAACACCTTTAGACGCCATGCAGTGCCAAGATCGAATTCGCCATCTTGGCAATTCCAATCACTTTCCTTCTATCGCTACTACCCATCCATATGTTTGCACCTATTGCACTTGGCTGACAATCTCGCTCGCTCGGGACAGGGACTCGACCATTTGCTGACATTCCTTCCGTCGACGGATGGTATAGTCGCTCTCCTTGAGTAAATCGTCCAGTTCTTGGGTGCGATACATTTGTTCGAGTAATTCTCTCTGCATTTCGTCCTTGGTGTGCCTGCGCAATACGTCAGTGTTTGCTCACAACGTCTCTCCATTCCTGGCAACTTACTCAACAAGCTTCAACATGATTGCCTTGGGCACCATGTCGATCACCGTCCTCCTGACAATGTTGAAGTACGAGGTGATCAGTAGCTTGATGACCTCGACTTCCTGCGTCTCCTTCTCGCTGAGAGTACCACTGGCCTTCAACGTAGCTGGTGGCGGCTCCATAGCGGCCATCTTCTTCTTGTTCTTACTGGCGAAGAAGGATCCGAAAAAGCCCGAGCCATCGCCTCCATTCAGGTCCAGACTAGGGCTGGCGGAGCGTGGAGGCTGCACGCTGGGAGGAAGCGGCTTTCCAGTCTTCGGGTCCACTTGCACGGGCTTGGCCGCATTGTGCTTCTCGTTCACGATTGCCATCGCACGGTGTCCATTGAGGAAATCGGGGTGTCCAGTGTTGACGTAGCATGCCTCCATGGCGACCATATCCTTGACGAGTTTGTTGGTAGGATCCATGGCCTTCTTGAAAAACCCAATGACCACACCGTGAAGCTTCTCCTTGAGCTGAGGATATCTTCGGAATAGCGGCTTGTTAACCAGTTGTCCCAGTATCCGTACCAGCTCGTCGTAGATCAGGCTGACACACTTGAGCGAAGGCTCTTCCAGTCGCTTGATCTGCTGCTTGACGATAAGCTCGAAAGCAGTCGTGCCAACGAATAGTGCAGGTGATGAGCCGGAGGAATTGTAGAGAATCGTTCGGATGTCGATGTCCTTGACCTGATCAAAGGGGTCCACGGCCTTTACACCGTTGCTGTAAAGCTCATGGTAGACAAAAGAGATACGAGCACCACCCGAAAGCTCAATGGACGATAGCTCGGCGTTGTGACCTTCCAAAACCGTCCGGTACTCATTGGAGAACTCCGTGATGATGTTTAAGATTATGTTCGCAGGGTTTCCAAGCATACTATCGCCGAGTTGTTGCAGCTCTCCGGAGTACTTCTGAAGCGCAGCCTGGATGCGGGCCTTGATGTCGGGTAGAGTCTGCTTGATGTGCATCATAAGGATCAGGTTAAGCTTTCGGGCCAAATACGGTGTTCCGCAGTACGAGGCCTTGTTCCGGTAGGCCTTGTGGTTCTCAAAGAAGTTCTTCTCGCTCTCCAGAGCATATGAGATGGCCTTCTTGGCTTCAATATCACGCTGCCCTCGGTTAACAACTGGGACATAGCCCAGTCGTAGTGGAATGATGCGGCCAGCCAAAATGTCCACCACATCAGTACCCTCGTCCATCAGATCGACCTTGGTGAGCACACCGATTGTCCGCTGTCCTTCAGGGTCAACCTCTCGCGCCAGTTTCAAGCCGTCAGAGTTGGCCAAGTCCGTATTCGCCGCAGTGACTGCAAGTATGATCGCATTCGGCTTCGAGATCTGCTTGAGCACCATTTCCCTGATTTGTCTCTCGATATCCCTTGGCTGATCACCCACAGGTACCTTGGTCAGACCTGGCAAGTCGACCAGAGTCAGGGTGAGGACGTTGGGCGAGTAGATGCGCAGGTTGATAGGTGCTGGGGAAATGCCCGCATTCCGGCCGGTCTTGCTCTCCGTCTCCTTCACAATCTCATCCCGAATCTTGTTGAAGTCGAAGAACTTTTGTCCAGGAATATGTAGAAACTCTCCCCACTCTTCAGCGTTTGCAGCTTCGTCTGTTGTACCCTCCACCTTCTCGCCATTTGCTACGCCGTTCTCTTGCTTCTTCTCCGGTGCGGCACGGTTAATGAGTTGGAGGACGAGCGGTCTTCGGGTCACGATTCCAGTTCCTCGTGGTAAACTGGTGTGATTAGTATCCGACCCGACATCTCAAATGTTTCCATGCAAGCTCACAAGTCTCTCCCGACAATATTCTCCAACACCGAGCTCTTTCCACTAGACTGCGATCCTACGACGACAATTTGAGGAAGATCGATGGGGTTTTGGACCTGCGTAGCAGCATATCAGTATCGTCTCCTGAAGAATTGCGGTGGCTTGTGGACACATACACCGACTGTCGTGAAGACATCCTGCAGCTTGTTGACGAGAGTGATGAGGCCGGGATCGTTCACGTTTATCCTGATTCCCGTCAGCACGATTCCTTCGCCGTCCACCTCTTCTCTGTGCGCACTCACGCGTTGGGATTTGTCTGCGCCATGGCAGGCGGTGTTCAGGAGTGTTTAGGTGTTTCGAGCTGTTCGCTGAGTGCTGTTGGTGTTGCGCCCGGATTTAGTCTGATGGATGAGAATGTGTTTTTGGTTGTAGAAAGTGGCGGCGGCGAGGACGTGGTGAGAATGTGGCTGTTTGGTTATTCTGCAGCCTTCTTCCGGAGAGCAGCATCACACCTGGCGACGACGACGCATGTGCTCCAGCGCACGAGCCACCGAACCCTCGAACCTTATTTATCTGCCAAGACATGGCGATCCCTCCGAACAACATCTTCTCCCAATCGCTCCGGCGGTAAGCTCTCCTTCCCAATCTTACACGAAATTACCATATTGCGTTCAATCCATCAATCCAATGCGAGTTACACATTCTGACGGCGAAACTCGGGATCCAATATAAATTACACGTTCTGACCGCGAAATCCGGGTAATACGTCAGCACTCCTGTGCCTGTGAATGGGCATCTTTCTGTGTTGCAAAGAGTATCATGGCTGGTTCGCTATCGTCCGAACTGCTGTGATCCTGCTTGTACTGTCGTACGCTGCAAGCTGACATTCTGAAATGTGGAAAGATACTTGAATACGCGACTTGGTAACTTACGTTTTCAATGTTGAGGAATACGGGGAGAGATGGCCTTGTCTGCAAGATCACCACTTCTCGCAGGAACTTCTGACTCCGGATGACCAATTCGAGAATCTCACCATGGTCTGCACGGAGCGCTCTTTATACTTCAGCTTCTTCGGCCTGGACGTCGCTCCTTTTCCCAAAAATAACCAGTCGCATCGAATTTCTCGGTCCCACGGACCTGCCTACCACGAGAATGCGCTCGAAGCACGATGAGATTCTGCCAGACACTAGAATGGCCAGAGAATTGGCTCCCAATCGACCTTCAGCCTTTGAAGTAGCCCCAGGACATGGTGTTTGATGCTCGACAGGACCCGAGATTCGAGGCCGAGGAAGCCACGCAAGGCATCGAAAATCTCTCGATCGCTCTGCAGATATGAAATGCTCAGGATCGCAATAGCTTTCCCGGAAATCTATCTCCGCCAGGTCTCTTGACACCCGCGTAACCTGTTACGTGAAGATTCCGCAGAAGCAACAATGGGAAGACTACAAGACCTTCCCTTCGCTGGCGAGATTTCGAGAGAAGACACCGCCGAACTTCCCTGGAGCGAGATACCTCTTCGCTTCCTGTGATTACGAATCATGTGGGCTGAGAGATTGATGTCCAATTCGCGAAAAGGTGCACGTCGTGGCTTGCGGTAAGGTCTCTCTGGGTGGCGTGAGGTCTACTCATAAAAATTTGGTATTCTGTTCCTGGAGAATTCGTTAGCGATGCACGTGATGAATGTGAGCTGATAATCAAGCGCTGACGATGAGTGATCGACGGTGTTGTGAATGGCAAAAAGGTAGCTCTCAATCCACAGAAATTTTTCTCGAAGAAGTGATGAACGTCCCACTCGCTGACAGTTACTCAAAGAGAAGGAAAGTAGAGCTTAGCTATACAGTGTAACGAAAGTAGAAGACCTATTCAATTCCGCGGAATCGATACATATTATCTCTCCCTACTATAGCCTCTTAAAGAGAATACTAGAACCTTTAGTGCATTATTAGGGCCTTTGACATGTAATAGATAGATTTAGGGAGTTATAAAACATCGCGTATATACAGTGTCTAGACATTATATACACGTTATGCGGAAATCCAAATCAGATAAGAAGGGAGCTATCCCGCCTCCATCATAGGCCTCTAGGCGAGAGATATCTATCGGGCAGATACTAACCGAGATATCGTGATATTACGGCTAATGACTACGGAGAGGACGAGGTCAGAGGACTGCCAGCTTTTGCGCGTACAATGAAATTACGTGTGTGGACGTAATTCGTGTATTCCGGTCTATAGCCCTCCCCTCATAGCTCCTCTCTTGAACAATGTTCATCATTCTTGTTGGACACAGCTCAGCCAAACAGCCACAAGCACTAGGTTCGGAAAATGGATACAAAGATATGCATGTGACTGCAGATCTTTCTTGTATAGATCCGCGAGCACATATTTTTGTTTTCGCGAGACGAATATACCTTAGTTGCGTCAAGGCTCGCGGCGGCGGGTGGCGCCTTGGCCATGCAGTAGTGCAAGAGATGGGATTTCGGGTGCCATGCTGGTGGGTGGATAGAGCTGCATGCTCGATCTCGGCTAGCTTCTGCGGACCAGGATGCCGAGGACCGCATTTTGACAGGTGCTTGCCGGCGCGTCTCTACGTGATACGCACGTGTCAGGGTTTAGTGCTGATGAGCCGGCCCATGAGCTTGTTATGTTATTGTCTCTGTTGGTCCTGTATATTGCAGAAGCCACAGCCAGAGACCTGTTGGCCCTGTATATTGCAGAGGCCACAGCCAGAGACTTGTTGGCATATGCTCCCCACCGTCGCGAGCTTCCAATGCAGGCGGCGTGAACGGTCAGGTTGCTGCTGTGGTAGTATTGAGACTTCTCACACCACGAGGCTCTGTCCTGTATACATTGCTACGGCCAGCGATGGAGTTTCCGGGGCTCGGGCATCGTGTATCTCGTATAGATCGAGGTCCAGCCGAGTACTGCTAAAGTATCCAAGCGATATCTGCTCGAACCTTTCAAACACCATCCATCGCCGCCCTTGTACTGAGAGTCTCGTTCTTATTGCCCAGTCTGCTGACCTGCAGGAACGCATCACATCCGTAGCCTTCCAAGGAATGAACCTCCAGACTACCTGCCCAGTATTCCGCGTAAATCTTGCTCATCGGCAAGCCCATGCCCAACTTCAATTCGGGAGGCCGTGCAGCAAGAGGCCCGAGGGAGCCGCCATATCGCTCTCCGATGCTCGCATTGCTCTGGTCGGGACCTATAGATGGAAGCTGCAGCTCTTTCATAGTAGCTGCCAATCGGGGGACCTGCTGCAGATTCTGGTGTCGATTCTTGCCCCTCGGGCCCTTTGCAAAAGACCAAAGATAGGGCAATACTTGGCGGTCCACACCGCCTCCCTGATCTGAGACGCGGAAGATGACGTGCTGAACAGCTTCGCAAACCAGAACCTGAATTGGTGGAGGCTCGGCCAGTCCTCTCTGTTCGACCGTCGCTTGAAGGCTGTTCCTGAGCAGCTCCCCAATGATGTACTCAATGTGAGATGGAATATATGGAAAAGTCGTTTCCAGATGGCCCTGCAGCTGAATTTCTGGAACAGCAACGTCTGACCCATAAGTCTGCTTCACAAGCTGTGTGGCGGTGTGGGCACAATTCTCAATGATCTCCTTGGCATTGCACTTGAGAAAGATCTCGCCTACAAAGTCATCCTCGGTGCCGCCAATGGGCTTCTTCGCGTTGGGGAAGTGCCAGGGGGAGTGAAACGTCTCGTTGAGCGCTAAGTGCTGCTCGGCAATCACTCTACGACTGATCCGAGAGCGCAGTAGCGTAGTCATGAATCGATCACATGCTTCGCTGCTGACGGAGTCTTGTATTTCCAAAATACCCATGGCCAGGCGAGGAATGACGGAGAGGTGCTCCTTCAGGGTCTCCTTGAGGACGTGGCAGAACCTGTCGTTGTCGGCCAACGATCGGACTTCGGGCACCTTGCGGAAACGTTCGAAAGCCTGGTAGTACAGCTCGTAGACATGGCTGATGTGTTTATTTGTCACGGCCGAGTAAGGCAGAGTCTGCATATTTCGTAGCCGGTGTGCGATCCTCGTCGGAAGCTCGAGACGTACATAGTTGGCGGAGCTGATCAGTCGTTCCTCGGTGAGAGTACGACCGAAGAAAGTCAAGCGACGAAGACTAACCGGTCGTGCCTCCCGAGCAACCCATTCATCCAGGACGTGTGAAGGCCTCCATGGGGGTGGAAGAGTTGTGTTGGAGGTATTCTGAGAAGCGGTCGCTGCGGTCGTGGCATATGCTCGGGTGCGGAAGGAGAGAGGGAGACCGGCCCACTTGGTCATTCCCAAGAGCGATGCCATCGTCGCACTGAAGCTCTTGGGAATGTTGATAGAAGGACGTCGAGTGGTACGAAAGGAGTTAGAACATGGGCAAGGCAGGCGGGAAGTCAATCTGGGGACTATGGCAGAAAGTAGTCGTGGGACTGCAACCAACTCGCCGATACCCTCGTGGGCTACTCTTCAGTTGAACTCATGATGTCTTTTCGCCGGATGCGAGATGGCCGGATGCGAGACCGCCGGATGCGAGATACCAATGACTCTGTAGGAGGCCAAGGTTTGCTACATCTCCCACCGTGCACTTGCGACGGAGGCATGCACAATGGATGGATGATGGATGATGGATGATGGATGATGGATGATGGATGATGGTGGGGCGCTCAAGTCTTGGTCGAGGCGGGGCTGCTGCAGCCTCAGGCACCCCAAAAATGGTTGTGACGGGGCAGATGTCGAAGGCGTTGAAGTTGTTGCGGTGAAGACAACTTCCAACTTGGAAGCTGCGACGACGAGCCTCATCATTCCGTTCCGACTCCAGCGTTTCTGTAGCTGACCGGAACCTTCCTCCTCCTTGTCACGTGGGTCGAGTCTTCAGCAGCCTGCGTCGTCATTGTCCATTCCGCCAATAATGACGTGGGTAGCAGCTGCATCCCAATCCACCTCCAGCGGCTGTTGCTGTTGCTTGCTTGCTTGCTTGCTTGCTTGCTTCGAACAACTCTATTCCACACCTCTTCCACACATATCCCCCTCCGCCCTTTCTTCACTCCATCCTCGCTCTCCATCCGCGCAGGCGCAAACCCTCCGACCTCTGCCTTCCTCACGCGCAGTCCCTGCAAACATAGGTACGGGCTTGTAATCATACCTTACGTGCTGAAGGAGCCTGAGGTCACTCGCATTTTCTCACCACTTCCGCTGCCGCCTGCGCCGGTCCCATATCACCACCAGGACCCGACTTCTTCGCAATGGATCCAGTAAGCATCCTCCCTCTCACGTGCCTCGCACACGCACGCATGCCTGCTTCCCGTGTTTCCGCTCCTCCATATACTTGACACCTTGGATTCGTGTATACCCTCCGCTGCATGCACCGCCCTGGTCTTGCTGACGTAAATCTTCGCCCGTAGCAGCTGGGAAGCGACATGCTTCTCGACTCCGACTACGACGAGAAGCGCCTCACTCCCAACGAAGATACCGACAACGTCGCCATCATCTCCCCCGACGACGCCGACAGCATGGTCGAAGACGCAGACCCCAGCGCCGAACCAGCGCTACCGCTCGCTGATGACCCTCAGGCGATGATGGACCGCTTCCTTCCAGCCATGCCCGACTACGAGACCGAAGCAGAAACATGGCACACTTGGGATATTACGGGTTGGAGACAACGGCCGAAGAGAGAGCATGGCCCGACCTTCCAATGCGCTGGCCATCCGTGGAGAGTACTCTTCTTTCCAGCAGGCAACTCGGCATCAGACAGTGTATCCTTTTACCTGGAGCATGGTTTCGAGGACAAGCCACCAGAGGATTGGTACGCATGTGCGCAGTTCATGCTGGTGCTACACAACCCCTCCGACCCTCGAATCTATCTCCACCATGAAGCGAACCACCGTTTCACGGCTGACGAAGGCGATTGGGGCTTCACGAGATTCGCCGATAAGAACAGGATCTTCGCGGCCAAATTCGACACATTCGACAGACCACTGGTAGAAAATGACGGTGCGAAGCTCACGGCATACGTAAGAGTGCTGAAGGACCCAACCGGTGTGTTATGGCACAACTTCGTCAACTACGACAGTAAGAAGGAGACGGGCATGGTGGGGCTGAAGAATCAAGGAGCGACTTGCTACCTCAATTCACTACTCCAGTCATTATACCTGACTGGCGCTTTCCGGAAAGCCGTATACCAGATTCCAACAGCCACTCCACAGGAGAGGCAGGCTTCCGAGTCCGCGTATGCTCTGCAGAGACTATTCTACAGGCTACAGGCCGACCCACTTGCCGTCGGCACCAACGAGCTCACACATTCATTCGGATGGGAAAGCCGGCAAATATTCGAGCAGCAAGATGTGCAGGAGCTGTCGCGAATACTGATGGAAAAGCTAGAAGCGCGCATGAAGGGCACTGAAGCAGAGAATGCTCTCAACAACATGTTCGTTGGAAAGATGAAGACATACCTGAAGTGCATCAATGTCGAATACGAATCGAGTCGGACAGAGGACTTCTGGGATCTCCAACTCAACGTGTCGGGTTGCAAGAGCTTGGATGACAGCTTCAAGGATTACATCCAGGTCGAGACTCTCGAGGGCGATAACAAGTACGCTGCAGAGGGCTACGGTTTGCAAGATGCCAAGAAAGGTGTCATCTTTGAATCCTTCCCCAACGTGCTTCACCTGCAACTCAAGCGATTCGAGTACGACTTCCAGCGTGATGCAATGATGAAGGTCAACGACAGATACGAGTTCCCGGAAGTCTGGGATGCGACGCCATATCTGGATGATGATGCTGACAAGTCCGAGCCTTACATTTATCATCTTCACGGCGTTCTGGTGCACTCTGGAGACCTCAACGCCGGACACTACTACGCCTTCCTCAAGCCCGAGAAAAACGGCGAGTTCTTCCGCTTCGATGATGATCGGGTGACTCGAGCTACCAAACGCGAGGCAATTGACGACAACTTCGGAGGCGATTATACCACGGTGAACGGTGTCAGCAGAGGTCAAAATCCATACACTCGGCAATGGTCTACAAAACGCTCGAACAATGCCTACATGCTTGTGTATATTCGAGAGAGCCGTCTCGACCACATATTGTTGCCCGACAGCGAAGTCAAGCCTCCAGAGCACCTTCCCATCAAGCTTGCTGAGGAAAGAGCTATTGCAGAACGGAAACGGAAAGAACGCGAGGAGGCGCATTTGTACATGAGTGTGCAGGTCGCAACAGAACAGAACTTCAGGGACTACCAAGGCGTGGACCTGATCCCTTGGCAAAGTGACAATGCGGCAGATCCTGCCACGCCCAGAACACACCGATTACTCAAAAGCATGACTCTGGCGGACTTCATCAAATACATCGCGGAGCAGCAAGGAGTTGAAAAGGATCTGATCCGCCCTTGGATCATGGTGAATCGTCAAAACGGCACAGTGCGGCCAGACCATCCCCTCATGTGGCCCGATATGACGCTACACGAAGCTTCGGAGAAGTTCAGCACCCGTGCGCATGGCTTCAGAGTGTTTATGGAGGAGACGACACGGGACGACAAAGGTGAGCCGATTTGGAAGAACGAAGAAAGGATTCCTTCCTCTCCGGCTGTCAATGGCGCCGTACCCCAGCAACAACACAAGCCAATCATTTTGTTCCTAAAACACTTCGATGTCGACCGGCAGGTTCTACACGGTGTGGGCCACATCTACATGAGCCCTCTTGATAAAGCTTCGGACTTGGGAGATCCAATCATGGAAATGATGGGTTGGCAGCCTGGAAGCGTGAATCTGGAGCTGTTTGAGGAGATCAAGCAGAACTACATCGAGCCGATGAAAGCAAAGGTAAGTCGGCCCACGAGGAGCACGCGTGCTTGAAGCCAGACAGGCTCTTTGCCCACATGATGATCCATATCTTTGAAGAGACCAACATGCTGACCATTACAGAACACGCTCCTCGCTTCCGAGATTCAAGACGGCGACATCATCGCGTTCCAGCGTCACCTCACCGAGAACGACATTGTTGAGCTGAAGCAGACCAACCCAACAGCGCAAATCACTGCGCCAAACTTCTACGACTTCTTGTTGAACCGAGTCTATGTCACCTTCACGCCCAAATGGGCTGATCCAGTCCCCCATCTGGAACTGAAGAGTGAGGGCATGGAGAAGTTCGAATTGGCCCTGTCAAAGAAGGACTCCTACGACTCACTCGCACTCAAGGTTGCTGAATACCTGTCATCGGTAAACGCTAAGCTTGTGGATCCTTCACATTTGCGGTTCATGACCACGAACGCGCAGACGGGCAAGGTCAGATCAGTCGTGAAGAGGCAGCAAGGCACTACCGTCAACACCATCTTGTTCGGGACTGCGGGCTACGGAGCGTATGCTTACACGCCGACCCAAGCGCCGGACCATCTCTTCTACGAAGTACTGGAGATGAGCCTCCAGGATCTTGAGCAGAGGAGATCGATTCGCGTGACATATCTGACCGAAGGAATTACCAAAGAAGAGCCACTCGAACTCCTCGTCCACAAGCAGTCACAATTCGACTCCGTCTTGGAGCAGATGTCGAAGAAGCTGCAGTTGCCACAAGAGATCGCTGAGCAGATCCGCTTCTACGAAGTGCACAGCAACAAAGTGTACAAGGTCCTCCCACCCTCGCATAGCGTCGTGGCACTTAATGAGTTCATGACGGTCTATGCCGAGCGAAGACCTGAGGAGGAGAAGGAATTGGACGAGGCAAAAGGCGATCGCCATCTGTACTGTTTCCACTTCGAAAAGGACCCCTCCAAATCGCATGGCGTTCCATTCATCTTCGTTATGAAGGAAGGCGAAGTTTTCAAGGAGACCAAGGAGCGGCTATCCAAGCGAACCGGCATCAAGGGCAAGAACTTGGAAAAGATCAAGTTTGCTATCATCAGGGGTGGACAGACGTACAGCCGACCGGTCTGGGTCGAGGATGATGATATTCTCTCGGAAAAGCTGGAAGCCCAGGATCACCTCGGACTGGAGCATCCGAACCGGAATCGCAACACCTGGGCTCGATACGAGAGCTTGAATATTCGATAGCTCCAGAAACGCCGATTGTGTGCCGCAGGACTTGCCTGATTTCTGGACTGAGCTGTGACTGATGCATTTTCTCTGGTTGGATTTTATGCACTGTACAGATTATATCTCCGACCGCGGGAGGCGAGGAAACGGTCTTGCAGTTGGGGAAAGACCAGTCAGTGGTGGAGGTTGTTGTCTGTTCTGGTCCCGTTGAGCGAATCTTTTCCGTTGATTGCTTTTTTGCATGGTGTTCCGAGGCGAATACTGGGAAGTAAGCGGGACGTGGTTGCCGTCTCACGTGCGCATGGGGAAGGGGGGCATTTTAGATAGCCGGGAAAGGGAATTGAAGAAAGCAAGCAAGCCAAGCCAAGCCAAGCAAGCTCATCGATGGGAAGAAGAAGATGCGTGTGTGTGTGTATGATTATACGATCAATAAGCTTTTTCTCCCCCCCCCCCCCTCCTCCGACGTATCACCTACATCAGTCCGAGAGCGGTACACACGGTTCCTGTTCCTGTTCCTGGGCTTGGCACGCTTCTTCCCCCCCCTCGGGGACAGTTGACGGGCTGAGACGGGGTTTGGTATCTCTCGCTTTTCATCAAACACACACACACACACACGTCTTGTCTTGCTAGTCCTTTGGAGTGGACTGACGGCTCGAGGGCGGGGCGGGCGCTAGATAGTGCGGTGGGATTTTTTTTTTTTTTTGGAGGTTATTACATGTACGGAGGATCTGTGCATAATGCCTTTTGGTTTTGGGGGGAATAATAGAGAGAGAGAGGGGAGACGGGGGTCGAACGGGATGTTACATGTAAGAATTTTTTGGGGTGACGTTTATCCTTTAAGGTTCCATGAGCTACTGTGCTACCTTATGCGGGCGAGATGGGTACTGTGGGTACCTTTTGTTAGGGCTGATTTTGGCCTTGATTTGATTAGATTTGATGTGATTTGATTTTGACGATGACTAACATCATTCATTTTCTCCATTCATTTGATGACTTGTCTTGTCTTGTCCTGGTGCTGATGAGAAAATGATGATGATGATGATGATGATGACGTGAGACGTTGCAATCAAAGAAGGGACGAACGAGAAATGATAGGTTTTCCGTTCCTTTCTTTCTTTCCTTCCTTCTTTCCGTCTTTCCTTCTTTTTTTTTTCATGCTCTTTTTTCTTCTTCATGACGGCAATGCAGAGTCAAAATCCAACATTTCCTCACTAGACAACAACACAAACGTCTCGTACCGCCTGCCCCTCCTCTGCTTCTCCCCCGTAACACTCTCGTGCCACAGATTGGCGGCTTCCGAAACATCGCCATAGCCTCTCCAGAGGGCCCTCCAATAGCATGCCTCGGCCGCCATGGTCAGATACCTCTCCCGGAAAGTCTTGACACTGTTCGAGGCGATCGATTCCGCCTTTGCCGGATTCGCGATCAATTCCTGGATTTTCATGGGCAGGTCGGAGAAGTCCCGCTCGACCTGTACGTAGTTCTGATGCGGGCCGCTGGGGACGAGGAGATAGTGGTGATGTTGGATGTACTGGAGTTGGTGTGCGATGAGGACGGAATTGCAGGCCTGACGGTATTTGAGGGAGGCGCTGTAGCTGCGGCCCTCGACGTGGGCGATGAACTGGTAGGTGCAGTGGTCGGACATGGAGAGGTAGGTGTGTGGATTGCGCCAGTTGATTTGTTTGACGTCGGACCAGGGTTGGTCGCGGCTGATGTCGAGCAGTGCGCGGCGGAGTTTGGGGGCGAAGGAGAGTTTGCCGCGCCAGACGAGTTGGGGGGATTTGGCGGCGAAGGGGAGGTCTTGTTCCACGGCGAGGGCTTGGGAGACGACCTCGTCGTAGGGTCCGATCTCGTTGTTTTGGCCTTCGATGATGTTGTCCCATGCCCAGAAACCGAAATCGGGAAGGAGGAAGAAGGACTTCTCGGTCGCTTTGCGAGCCAAGACCCAGAGCGGTGCGGTGTTGCTGGAGGTGATGTCGGAGGCTTTGTCTTCGATGGAGAAGATGAATTCAATGTCAGGCAAGGTGTGTCTTTCCTCGCCCGCTGCGGCCAGCGCACGATGCATCGAACTCAGAACGGCTAGGATTTTTCGCCGATGATCTTCGCCTTTGGATTTGCTGGCGAGAATGTATAGATTTCCGGAATGGATCATTGCTCTCGTCATGCCATTCTGGAGCGGGACCTGATCGAGAGTGGATTTGGTGATTCGGCCCACGGTCTTCCAGTGGAAAAGACCTTGCTTTACATCTTCGAAGAGACCGGGAAAGGCAATCTCGCACTGTTCCTGATGCAAGCCTTCATTCTGGCCATCGCGATGGTAATCAAATGTCCAGGAGGGGCTGCTCTCGCTCTGGTTGGAGGACAGGAAATGCTGTTCCAAGCAGCTAGAGCACTCAAAGACGGTGGCGGATGCGCATGTGGCATGACCAGCAGGTATCAACTGTGTAAAGATGGGGGGAATGTTGTCCTGATCCGAGTTGGCGGCATACCAGAACATCCAAGTGATGAGGCAGAGAAGCAGGCTGGCCGCAATGAGAGTGATGCGCCCGCAGCGTCCGGCTGGTAAGGAGGAGACTGTCGATCGCATTTCCAACCGTCCACGAGTCTGCTCATCTTCTGTTGTGCAGAGACATGATCCGGTTGTCGAGTGATTCTCCTGATCTATCGCAGGGATTGCAAATTCCAGGTCCTGTTGGCCGTGATGTGAGTGTTGGGAACTGGGATCAATCCATGCGCGTGAAAAGCCTCGTTCCTGGGTTTGCTGTGCTATCAAACTGTGTATTCTGAAGCGAAAGGTGGCGTGAAGAGGAAGGGACTGTTGTTGTCGCGTGAGGGGGACGATGTCGCGTGCGCTGAAGTTAAGTTGGAGGATGCACAGGTGGAAACGTAAGGGTATGATCCATCGCTCCTTTTCGTCCGTCCAGCCAAGACTTTGCGATGGAGACAGCGCTTCGTCCAGCACACACGATGATGATGCAAGGGCCGCGCAAGTCGAGTGCGACGACTGCCATTGTATTATATTACATTATATTACCCCAATGACATGACAATACAACACCCACCAGATAACCACCAGCGACCATGATGCACCTCCAGATTCTCGCCAAGAGCAGACCGAGCGAAGACGAACAAATGAGGTGTTGTTGGCTCGGGATTGGCGAATCCCGACTCGGGAAATAAACACGACTGATCAAGACTACATGTACTCACCACGAACGACAGCAGTACCTGCATCCTCCTCCGCATAACCTCTGCATCATCGTACATCTAACCCTCCCCACGACGACGACACACCATGGTCCTCGAGGCAGGCTACCCCAACACCACCGGTTTCCGCAAAGTCGTCAAGGCCAGCATCTTCATCAAGAAGAAGCCCGGCATGTCCGACGCGGATTTCATCCAGCACTACAACCATAAACATGCCCAGATGGCGGCCGATGTGCTGGAGAAACACGACGTCATGACATACAGTCTCGTACGTTCCGCCCACGCGGCGCCTTTTGTGACGTGAATCGTGTGTGAAGAGCCAGGGCTGAATTCTGGAAACGTTGTAGAGCTATTGCCTCGAGCGCGACCGGAAGATCATGGGGGATATGATGCGGGGCAAGTGTCCGCTGCTGGAGTACGATGCCATCTGCACGTTCGTGTTCAAGGACTACAAGGCGTACGCCAAGTTCATGTTTGATAAGGAGAGCGCGAAGCAGTTGTCGCCGGATCACGCCAATTTCATGGTCGAGGAGGAGATGAAGATGATGGTGGGAGATGAGTACATGGTGATAGAGGATGGGAAGAGAGTAGGATAGCATCACCGTGTATCGTTCCCATCTCGACCTCTCGGAGCAGAAGAGATCTACGATTTGATAAGGTGCAGCAGCGGCCAGCGCGAGGTCTCGTTGCTTTTCAGACGTATCCTTTCCTTCCACCCGTGAAGAACATCTTCACGACGAAGACTTGTAGACCTGCCATTGCGACCATGACGGCGCCTTCGATCAGGTTCAGGTTGAAGATGCGCTTTTCCGTGCTCCTGACCGTGCTGAAGTTGCGGTTCTCTCGTGTTCGGAAGTACTTCTGCTGTCTTGTGAGGGTGGACACCTGCCCGGAGAGACGCATGATGGTCTCTTCGACGCCGCTCAATTGTTCGGTACTAGCTCCTTGCTTTTGGGGGAGATTGGCTCGTGGTTCGTCCTCGACCTGAGTGTCATTGTGTCAGCAAACCTATATGGGCTTCGTGGTTTCCAGCGAAAATGCCTACCGAGATGTCAAAGTCCACGACTTTATCCGCGAAGATTGAAATGGTGTTGTCGAAGCAGAAGCGGTATTCTCCACTCTCGGTGGCAGTGAACACATAGTCTCCCTGCCGCTCCTTCTCGCCGTCCAACACCACTCGCTCTTGATTCGGCTGCTTGCCTGGTCCGTAGACGGAGTAGTTGACTAGATGTCCACGTCAGCTTCCAATCGCTGCTCCGTTCCGCATGCACCGGGATCTTACTGTCGAAATCGCCTCCGCTCTGTACAGCAAAGTAAAAAGTTATCTTCGCGCCGACCTTGTCCACATGCGCGTAGAAGCACTCCTTTTCGTTCGGTGTCATCTTGTATGTGAGGGCCGTAGCGGAGGTAAACGTCGTGAGGAGGCCCAGAAGGGCGACCACGGAGGTGAGAGGGAACATTGCGTGGTTAGGTAGTCGTCGTCGTCGTTCAATCGTGATCTCGTCGAATGTTGGAAGCCGGAGTGGCTGTCGAGGCGAACTCAATGCGGCTTCTGGGAGTTCTGGACACGCGATCCAACTTGCTTGCTTCAAGGGTCGCGGAGGAGTTCAGGGATCATCTCGCTTCCGATGAGCTGCCGATACGCTCGCTTAGAGCCGGAGCTAGCGGATGTCAGATCACCGCGCCGGACCACCCGTGCACGCTTCCTCTTCCGCACGTCTTCGACTCTCAGCTTCCTCCCTCCTCCATTCTTCTTTCTTTTTCATGTCGCCTTCACATGTGCCGTAGAGCAATTCAACATTGGAACTGCAACATTGCGGGATACTCTTCTGAATCTGGACTGCAATTCCAGCGACATCATGGCTGCACTGGAGCATCCAATGAGGCAGAGCTTGCTCTGGGGCCAGCTCTGTGTAGACCGCCTGGGAGGCTGAGTACACGGATATAGCAGGCCGTTGACGACGTTGTTCATACACCTCTCGCGTCTCCATCTGCGACCAGTCGGCGGTCATTCAACATGTCGATAATCTACTTAGGCTTGAGAGCCATGATGCAGAAGACGGCCTTCTCGACCACCGCCCTTCAAAGAGGTGATACTCACTCTCCTACCGGAGACCAAGAATGGAGGTGGAGAATCGACGAAACTGGCAGCGAGAAAGTTCTCTGGAGTCTGTGTGCTGGCCAGACTGCTGTGGGGTTTGCGATCCTTTCCTTGCCAACATCTCGTGCTGTTAGGCTGGTTGGGATGTTGCAGATCGGGTGTTGGACGGCAATTATTTGGACTCTCCAAATTTCTCGAATTGTGAATTCACGCTTGTTGCTCCTGATAGGATGGATTGCCAGCATCGAGCCGCCAAATCCTTCATCAGTACCTTGCGGCGCTGAGACAAGACGGCATGTTTGGTCTCATGAGGGACATCTACAGAAATGCCATTGAAGTATTCGCATCCATCATCAGTAAATCTCATCATCTGACATTCGACGAGAAAGAACCTCACCCCGGAGGCCAACGAGGAGTCTCAAGACAAGTCAACAACTCTGGATCAAGAGATGACCGAGGCCACAACTAGTCAATCCGATCAACTTGTTTGGCAAACATTTGCTTTCAACTCAAGTGCTAGCCAAAATTATGGAGTCTGCCATACTTGGCAGGTCGTGGGCCACGATATCAATATCCCCAAAGACCTCTGACATAGGGTCTTTCTCCCAACCCGAGCACCACGCAGATCTGAAGCTGGCGTAATAAGTCAGCCCTGTACCTCTTGAAAGCGGTCGCTATACTCACCCACTACGCTTTGCAGCGGCTGAATCCCACATATGGCATGCTGCGAACCACGGCTGCGTCCCTTCCGGGAGACGTCTCAATACATACTCGTAGACTTCCGGCTGCGGCTTTGTTGCACCGATGGTCTCGCAGGCAATGAAGTTCTCAGATGGTAAATCGATTGCAGCTGTGGTAAGATAGCTTTGCACTCGCGCCTTATCTCCAGAAGTCAGGGCCCAAATCGTGAAACCAGCCCGTCTCAGACGAGTCATACAGTCATGAATGCCTTCGCGAGCTCCTAGCTTTCGATAGCTCTCCGCCACATAGGTTACATCCTCGCCAGAAGCAAAGTCATGGGACTTCTGGATTCCGCACATGGCGAGCATACGGTAGAAGATTGGCTTTATCATATCCATGAACAGAATTGGCTGTCTCGCGAGTTGAAAGAAGAGGCATTCGCGCTCGCCGCCTTCGAGGATGAGGAGGCCGAACAGCTTTGGCGGGATTCCATGCTGGCGGAGTCTGTCGCCGAAGCGTTCTTCGAGAGCGTCGAAGAAGGCGTCGTAACTGATGCAAGTTCCGACGATGTCGAAGACTACGTGTCTTCCTCCCGTCATGTCTCTGTGTCGCGTTATTATGTTGGACGAATAGCGATGTACCAAGAGCATCAAACTTCTAGCAGGCCCTATCGGCCGACGCGGCCAGATGTTGGCCGCGCAACAGAGCTGTTATCGCTTCAGCTCGCATCAGCCAGGTGTTCGTCGATGCTAGTAGAACATCTGCCTCATATTGTCAAGATTCTGATTGAGCTTCAGAAGAAGGGGTACGGAAATGTCACATCATGGTCAACACAACACCAACCACCCAACTTCCGGTACCTGGAGCCACATCGCCGTTCTGGAGGACTGAGTTGCACCGGCTGGATAGCAACAGGTCTTCCAATGAACTCCCGCAAGAATGCGATGTCTTAGTCATTGGATGCGGTTATGCAAGTGTCTCGACAGTCTACCACATGCTCAAGCGAAGCGAGGACACGCCGGCCGTGGTCATTTTGGAAGCTCGAGAAGCTTGTTCAGGTGCCACTGGGCGGAACGGTAACAGCACAGATATTATCTCGCGGTTGGCTTTTCCTCACCACTGACTTGAGATCACAGGCGGTCAGCTCAAATCTGATGTCTACTACAATATCCTCAAGTATACTCGAAAGTATGGCGCCGAGCGGGCTGCGGAGTTTGCCAAATTCGAAATGCGAAATATCATGGCTTTAAAGCGGCTCGTGGAGGAGGAAAAGATTGACTGTGATCTTGTTCTCACTCGCACGATGGATGTGTATTTGGATGAAGAGCACTCAAAAGCTACCAAAGCTACTTTCGATGAGCTGTCGAATATTGGAGTAGCTGATTTGACAGACGTGGAGTATACTGAAGGCATTGATGCTCAGAAGGTATAGGCACTCAAGAACAAAGGGCTGCAACACGCGCTGACGATCTTACTTCGGAGTAGATTTCGGGTGTCAAAGGCGCCAAAAGCTGCTATTCTTTCACGGCAGGACACCTATGGCCTTATAAGCTCGTAATGCACCTCCTGGAAAAGATCGTACGACGAGGTGTAAACCTACAAACTCACACTCCCGTGACTTCTGTCTCCGACACCTGCGATTCCGAAGGCCGCTGGACCGTCACGACTCCTCGAGGAACCATCAGAACCAAGAAACTCATCTTCGCTACGAATGGCTATACCGCCGCCATCGCGCCGCAATTCCGTAGCAAGATTGTTCCGGTGCGTGGGATTTGCAGTCGGATTCAAGTCCCCCGAGATACCAAACCCCAGACGTTGAGCAACACGTATAGCCTGAGACATGGGAAAGGTCTTTACGATTACATGCTCCCTCGCCGCGATGGGTCGATCATTCTAGGCGGAGCCAAGCCTTCCTTTTGGCATGACCGGTCACAATGGTATGGGAATACGGACGATAGGGTGCTCATCGAACCCGCGAGTGACTATTTTGATGGCATTATGCAGAGGCATTTTGTCGGATGGGAGGACTCCGGGGCGTACACGGATCATGTGTGGACGGGCATTATGGGCTGGAGCAGTGATTTCATGCCCTTTGTTGGACCTGTGCCGGGGAAACTGGGGCAATACATTATCGCGGGCTTTAGTGGGCACGGAATGCCGTTGATTCACCTGTGCTCTGAAGGGTTGGCGGGTATGGTTGGAGGGGAGAAGACGTTTGAGGAGACGGGGATGCCGAGTGTTTTTGCGCCGACGGAGGAGAGGTTGAAGAGCACGAGGAATGAGATTTTGGATACGCCGACGGGGAAGCTGTGACGAGTGAACGACACTGGGGAGTACAGCTACTCTTGTTTCCATCTGTTTACTGGGTGGACAAGTGCTCCCTCCTGCCAGAGACGAGATCAATTTCGGCCAGTGGCACCAACCTGGTCTTCTTAATCACCTTCCAACCCACATACAGCACCGCAAACACGGCTATGACCACGTAATTGACGACGAAGTCAACAGCATGAAAGCCTCCAACGAAAACCGAAAACCCGGCAATCAGCACCAGGAAGACGTTAATGAAGATGACGAACCACGTCCCGTAAGGATAGAACATGGCTCGGAAAGGTAAATCTTCCACCGCATGGCCTTGGACTTTCCAGGCTCTGCGGAAACGTAAATGGACCACGCCAATGACGGCCCATGCAATATACGTGGCGGAGCCGCAGATATCGATGAGATAGGCGAACACTTTCCCCGGACCAGTCTTGTAGTTGAGCATGGCGACGAGAGCCAGGGCGTTGGACATGACAAGAGCGTTGACGGGTGTGCCGTTTTTCGTTGTCTTTGCGAAGAATCTCGGTGCCCGGCCGCTCGAGGCGAGATTGACCAGAGTCCTGGAAGCGACGTACAGAGCGGAATTCATCGACGAGAGCTGGGCGGTGATCATGACGACGTTGACCACGTGTCCCATGGCCGGAACACCCGCGTGATCGAACGCGATGGTCCAGGGGGATTTGCCCGTCTTGCTCTCCGCAGTCAGGAGGCTCGGATCGTTTGAAGGCACCAGGATTCCCGCAAAGAAGACGAGTCCCAGGAAGATGACCAGGACTCGCCAGAACGTCTGCTTGATGGCCTTGGGAAGATCGCGAGCCGGGTTCTTGCTCTCCGCAGCCGTGAGAGCCAGCATTTCCGTCCCACAGTAATAGACCGCCGCCAACAAGAAACATTGCCCGAATCCGTCGATCCCGTTCGCGACCGGTCCAGGCTCCCTCCAGTATCGAAACCCAATATAATCCCCCCCGATCGCCCCCGTATTAATGAGTATCGCACACAGGAAACCCCCCAGAATACACAACAGTTTCCAACAAGCCAGCCAGAATTCCATCTCCCCCCAGACCACAACCCCCAGCAAACTCGTCCCCTGATAAAAAGCCCACCAGATCAAGATCCACCCATAGCTCGGCACGCGATCCCCCGTCCAGAAGCCCATGATCAGGGAACTCGCATTGAAATCCCCCGCGATGTTCGCCACCCACAAGTACCAGTAATTCCACCCGAGACTGAACGCCAGCGCCTCGTCGACAAATCTTGCTGCCAGCTCGATGAAAGCCCCCTGGATGGGATATAAGGTCGCCATCTCCCCGAGGCTCTGCATGACGCAGTAGACGTCGATTCCTATTACGAGGAAGCAGATCAGAGCGCCGAGGGGCCCGGAATAGGCGACGGCGAAACCCACCCCGTACCAGATGGAAGCTCCCACGACGCCGCCGAAGGAAATCATCACGAGGTGGCGGTTTTGCAGGCCGCGTTGGAAGCCGGAATCGATGAGGTTGCCATTTTTGGCGGTTTGGAAGGCAGGCTGTGTGTCGGGGACATTGTTGTCGGCGAGTGGAGGGGAGATTTCCACCGAGGTGGTGATTTTGTTGTCGTCGTCGTCCATCGCTTTGGACGCCATGATGGTGGTGAAAGAGCCTACCTAGTATGGAGAGATTGTGAAGAAGCATTTGGAGTCAGAACGTTTCAGTCCGTCTTTGGCTAGTAGACTGGCGAGCTTGGAAATGATTGGTAGAGTGATTGATAGATAGATAGGCATGCTTCTGAGCAAGGGTCGGCCGACTTCGCCGAAGCAACGAGTTCCGAATCTGGTCATCTTAGCGCCATGATCATGTGGCGCTGGGCAAATGTTGTATATATATTGACTAGCTATGGTTTGCTCAATCAAAGCTCAAATGACTCCGATTCCAACGGTGAGGATTTTGCTGCTCTCGCGCTGGGAACGATGCCCCCACTGGCCCGGTGAGTCTCTTGCGTCCTGGGTTCAACAATCTACAGACTCCAGCATCTGCTTCCGGTGTTGGATCAAGCTCACGTATACGAAGTCTGGCGGTATGGATATCCAAACAGTACTTCAATCAAGAAGTGTCTTCGTGGCCGTGGGACGCCGGACTACCTCTCTCTCGCCCGAATGTTGGATGGTCTTCTATGCCTATTGATAGGTTCTCCAAAACGGCTCTATCGATTGAAGAGATTTGCTTGTTTGCCAGAATGCTCGATGCTACGGAACTTTGAAGCACACATCGTGCACGGACTCGGGGATCACATGTCGTTGAATAGGACTTGAATCCTGCAGACATCATCTCAGCGTTCGCTTAGAAGTGAGCGCCATATATCAACCATGCATTAGGTCTTTACCAGCCTCGTCGAAACGTCGAGCAAGTCTTCCGCGAACTTCCGGCCATGAAACTCGTCTCGATATTGAAGTCTCCGCAACCGGGGGGGTTTTCGTTCAGGCAGGTCAAATTCCGGTTCCACGAATGTACCGAGCAACATCCTTCTTCCTTGGGATCTGCCTTTACAATTGACCTCCTGGGGCATGTAGTCGTAGAAGTTCCAGCTTTTCCCTGGGCTCGCGAATGTCTTCTTCCTCCCAGTCAATCTTTTCGAAATCGCTAGAGGCTAAGCTTCGCAATTTGGCAAAGCAGCGCTGTGAAACCAGATCAAGACGCGCTCCTGCGTCCAGAAGCAGTTTTACAATATTTGTTCCACAAATTCCATCTATTGCCCGTTCCAAAGCTGTAGGCCAGCCAAGATTGGGGTCAGCTCCATATTTCAGCAGCTCCTCAATGACCCAATCCATTGCCTCAAGGCAAGCGCTTGACAAGGCCGTGAACGCCTTGCGACCTCCATCAAACCGAGGGCGAGAGAGATTTATAGATGCTCCACTGTCAATCAACAGCTTTATCAGGGCTTTCTCTTGGTCTGCGGGGCTGCCATATATACTCATGAGGGGCGTTTCACCATATTCGCCTGGCCAGCCATTCGCGGAAGCCCCTCGTGCGAGTAGGAGACGCGCAGCCTCAATTTTTCTGAAGTGAACAGCTGTACAGAGCGGGGTGTTTCTCCACCCATTATATGGCCTGTCCGCATCAGCTCCGTTGTCGATCAAGAAGCGCATGAAGTCAACTTGGTTGCACCTAGCAGCCTCAGTCAATCCCTGGTTCGCGCCATAACTTGCCTCATCCTCGATGAGAAGTCTGGCAACAACACAGTTCTTCTTCTCGTAAGCAATGTACATGTAATCGTAATGCTCGTAGTACTCATCGTCGCCAACTAGACGGTATTGCAAGAGCAGGCGGACGGTCTCGACATGATTCCCCTTTACGGCTTCTGCGAGGGCGGTTTTCCTATCAGAATACGCGACATCCATGTCGATTGGAAGTCTAAGAAGGAGATCGACCATCCCGTTGTTTCCATAGCGAGCGGCGAAGTGTAGCGATGTAGACCCTAAACTGGTCATTGGAGCAGTGACGTCTATGCCGGATTGTATTAGGTACTCCATGATCTCCGTTCGGCCCCATTGTGCTGCGCAATGTGCCAGACATGCAGGTAGTTTTTCGTCCGAATGGTCCGCCCGCGCTTTTCGAGTCTCTTCTCCGGCGCAGCGAATGTAAAATTTGTCCAAGGCCGCTATTGTATTCCTCGGCGAAGGTGTGTTGGATACGAGCCATTTGAGCAGCGCAACATCGCCGCGTCGGACGGCAGCTTGGAGTAGCTCGAAAAGCACATTGTCGCGCGACAAATCTAGGTGAGAAACATTTGGGGCTTGTACAAATTGCACCGGACGCGAGATCTTTGCTAGAGGGAAAGGCTCAGTCAGGCCAGAGTTCTTCCACTGCAGCTGGCCGGTAACACTCGACGTGGGAGCTTCGTTCTTCTCGTTCGATACTCCAGGAGATTCTGGTGTCTGAAGGTTCCTTAGACAAGACAGTGAATGGCTTTTGAGGTACCCTCTTCCGAACTTTCGATTGCACAGCACGCATGTTTCCAAGCCTTCGCCGGTGTGGATTCGACGATGTCTTTTTAGAAAGTCACGCCTCGAGAAGGTCCCGTTACAATCCGAGCAAGAATAGCGGATGGAGTCTTGCTTTTTGTGAGCCTGCGATGTCCTGAGATGACGGTTCAAAGTAGTCCGGCGTGCGTAGTTCCTGCCGCACTCTTTGCAAGAATACATGGTACGATTTGCACCGAGGACTACTCGATAGGCTGATCTCTAGGCTATACCCGTCTTGATGCCACGGTCGACGTCCGTTCCAGATAGCAGTTGCCGAAGGACCGCACAGCGGGAAGCTCGATGATTCCAAAGGCAAACCGACTTGGTAGCTTGGGGAGATGGAGTATGTGGTCGTAGGAGAAGGCGTCGCCTGCGCATGGGGGTAGCGTAGCGTCGCGTCGTAGCTGAGAGAAGGACGGATGATGTTGGGAGTCCGACTTGATCATGAGCGAGAGGCGTGGCAACATGTAGCAGGCGGGGCGCGGTGTTGAGAGGACGGTGAGCTATTACCTGAAATTGCGCACGGCGTCGAGGCTGAGGCTGTGCAGTGCGGGACAGGGAGACAGGGAACATTGAAGCGCACCTCCCAAGCGTTGCCCTTCCTAGACCACCAAACTTCTTCTCCCACAACCACCGGTGACAACCACCACAGCACACTCCCCGATGGTTTTTCCCGTCTGCGTTAGCGCGTGGGAAAAGGTCTGCGTTAGCGCGTTGGAAAAGAGCCCTGCTCTTGCCGTCCTTGGTGAGTCTTGGGAGGTGCGCGACTTGCGTGCATGAAACGCGACTTGGTCGCTTGCTGGGCTGCGGTGCAATAGGTCAGATCCTCGTCTCACACGCATCAAGGCAAGCTCTGTTTGGAGGTGCTCCTGCTGGACTTGGTGGAGAGTTGAGTGATAGCTGCTCGTCCACATCATCGGCGTGTGTCCGAGAAGCCGTCTACGAGAGCTGCAAGAGGAATTCTCCCGGCGCGCATCCTGAGAGTACAAGTAGGAGCTCTTCTGTCCCCGTTTCACCTGGCAGCCATCCAGTCTTGTACGCCATTTCAGCAAACACCAGCTGCCTCAATCATCCTCCGCCGCAAGCATGGCCCACAGCAACGACAACATCAGCTCTCTCAGAGCGTGGCCAGTCTCTTCCTCTGGACCTACCTCGACCGCTAGCCCACTACCAACCAACGACGACAGCTCCAATCAACTGCAGGTCAATCTAGCCATCATCTTCGGCGTCGTCACTTCGGTCCTGGCCGTGGCAGCACTCGTCGTCGCATACCTCCAGCTCCGTACACACAGAGCACATCCGCACGCAGAATCGACTCCATCACAGCCGGAAGAAGTTTGGGACCTGGTAGAAGTCCAGTAGGCTTGTGGCTCCCACTCTTGGTCCATCCATGCACGTGTCTGATCATTTGTAGCACCCACTCTCGCCGGCAGACATTCCAAAGATCTCGGGGTGACGAACGGAACGAACGCGGTCGATCTCCTAGCTTGCTGGTCTGAATGACTGATGGTTGCTCCGGGTAGAATAGTAAGTCGGTTCTGGAAACGCGGTTTGCGTGACTCCATCATGGTCATTTTCATACTGATCTCCTCGTCTGTGCAGCTTTTCAAATGCTGGATTGGTATAGCGGCGTTTCTGATAGCCTTATGAATGATACACACCCAATGTTTTTACTCCTTGCCGTCTTACTATGCATCCCACCTCATCGCTCCAGGCCCATCGACTGTCTTCATCCTATCTTACAGCTGCGCATGCTAATGTCTCGCTCCCTCGTCGACGCTGCGTGGACTTATTGGGCTAGTGGAGAGAATAACCTGTGCTTCGTGAGTATTCGTTCTTCTCGTGCTCCTTCTCTTCCTTCTACACACCGAATCAACGACGGTCGTGGGTTGCTCCTTGTGTAGCCCAAGTAGATGATGAGAGGCAGGTATCCGCTGGATGTCCGTCAGCATACGATCGATGCGCTCTGCGGTTCAGCAGTGTTCGTACTAATGGATCGCAACTCGTGAAAGGTCAATGACGCGAGCGATGCGCTCCTATCACCATGTCAGCCCACGCCAACTGCCTCCATCACCCTGATCGCTCATACCTTGCTCTCCTCTGACAGCTGCAACCACGCCATGTCGTCTTTGCAATGTGAATGTTTGGTGTTGGGGAGATGAAGTCTCTCAAACTTCCTCACAAGCTCAAGGAAAGCCCGCTCCGCTGACGGGTGCTCCCGGCGGAACATCTCCGCGCCAAGACCGCACGTCGACCTCGCAAGAATTCCACCCAAAGCAACACATCGCGGGATATCTCAGCGACAACAGAGCACCAGCAGTCAAGATGTCGACCCAACACGAGCCCATCAGCAACGACCTGATCTGGGAGGTCACCCGTACGTTTTCCACCAACCTGAGATTCCGCACCGGGAGGGATTTCAAGATCAAAACGACCAATGGCTAATAATATGAATTGGCGCATGTGACAACAGGCAACAACAACTCCTTCCTCGTCAAGAGAAAGCAGGCTGGCGGTGTCCAATTCTCCCGCGACCCATACAACCTCACCAACAAGCACGCCCGCAAGTACGAGGGCTACTGCAATGACCAGGTACTTCCTTCCATCCAACCAACAAGCCCCAAACAACCCTCAAGACCCTCTCTCTCTCTCTAATATCTCCCCACCCACCTCACTTCCTCACTCACGTACTGACACATTCCCCCTCACTATCCAGGCCATCTCCATCCAGCCCGACTCCAACACCGTAGCCATCACCACAAAGCTCCCGAAGCGCTGGAACCAGCCCGCAAAGTCCACCCACACCACCTCTTTCAACGCTTCCACCCCGACCCGCAAGCTCTACAAGTCCGTCGTCAACAGCACCGCCAAGAAGGGCTACCGTCCGGATCTCCGTGCGGAGACCGTCGCGCGCGCCTCGGCTGTGAGGCAGAGCCAGCGGGAGAACAAGAAGGAGCGTGAGGCCAAGTTGAGGGGTCGCAAGGCGAGAAAGAACCAGGCTGACAAGGAGGCCAGCTCGTAGAGAATGAGCTTGGTGTGAGGCTTGTTCCGAAGAGGGATGAGCAGGTGCTGAGGCGATTTACGGTCGGATAGACAGCTAGCTACACCGTACCCGCCTCCAATGCCATGACGAGCGTGCGGAAAGGCCGCGAATTGAAACGCTGAAGAACCAAGCTATCGTACACTTTGTCATTTGCTTTTCCTTCTGCGTTCTGTACAGAGTAAGAGGTATCTCGTCGTCCTTGAATTCCTGTCCACTCCAAAACACCTCGCTTCAAATCACATGGAATGGCCCATGTGGAGTCACTACTGAAGGTACGTCAGTTTTCAGATGACAACTTGTCGAGGTCGCTTATGTCCGAGAACTTACCGCGTTGCAAGCGCCCAAGACCTTGAACCTTCTCCCAAACAGTATCATTCGTTCCCAAGTTCCGTCTCTGCTGCTAATGCCGTCCGGGTTGCCGCTGCGCTCGCTGCTGCTCTCGCTGCTGCTCTTGCCGCTTCTGCCCGCTTTCTGCATGCAAAACATTGACTTACCTGGGTACTGATCACGAAAACCATATTCCTGTATACGGCAGATAACCATAATCATGACCGTAATCGTAGCCGGTCGCGGCTTGATCGTCAGAGTTCTCCCCTTGCGTATACTGACCCGTGTTCACCGCCTGGCCGTTGCCATGACCATACGAGGTCGCACCTTGATCGTTAGAGTTCTCCCCTTGCGTATACTGACCAGTGTTCACCTCCTGACCGTGACCATAGCCGTACCAGGTCGCGTTTTGCTCGTTCGAGGCTTGCCAGTACATAGACTGGCTAGCGTCGACGTTCTGACCATAAAACTTGTCAGGATCCGGGTAACTGGGACGACCTCCATAAGAAGACGCACCTTGATTGTTGGAACCATTCCATCCCATAGACTGACCACCGCAGCCATTTGGGTCCGAGGACTGGGCACCAGGTCCATTCCGATTCGTCCAGAGGTCCTATCTCTGGCCTTGCGGGTATGGGCCTGGCGGTGGCTGGTATGGGTAGCCTGCCGGTTGCTGTGGCATTCCAGGGTAACCAGCCTGGGGCTGTGCGTGACCTTGGAAGTTCGTCTGCATGCCGGGCGCGTTCGGCGGTCCACCATATCCTCCGACGCTGGGCGGTGGTCGAGCTGGAAGACCTGCGTTCGTGGGCGGTGCTTGCAGTGGTGACTGGTTGAACTGTCTGCTCGGTGGTAGAGGCGCGCCGCCATTGGGGATGGTTCCAGTATTCGTAGGAGTAGGCAGATGGCCGAAGCCAGTTGGAGGTGGTGGTGCAGCGCCCCAAGCTGGTGCTGGAGCTCCGTAGCCAGCGTATGCGGGAGGAGCTTGCGGTGGTCGAGCTGGGAAGCCGTTCGGAACTTGAGGTGGGTATCCGTTCATGCCATTCGGCATTGCAGGGCCAGAAGGCGTACCGTTTGGCAGGACCAACGCCGCTGGTAGTGCGGGGATCTCCACCTCCACACCATGCTTCTTCGCCTGCGCAGCGAGCGCTCTCTCTGCTGCATCTCCGTGCCTCTCGCCCTTGCCATCTTTCTTGTACGCGTATTGCACCACAATCTCCTTGTTCATGAGGTACTGTCCATGCATGTGCTCAATGGCCTGATCGGAGCTCTCGAAGCTTGCGTAGCTCACGAATCCGTAGCCCTTGCTCAGGTTGCTGTCATCCCTCGCAACCTTGGGCGCCGCAACCAGGGCTCCGAATCGCGAAAACGTGTCGTAGAGCGTCTTCTCATCCACGAGCGAGTCCAAGTTGCCGACGAAGAGCTCGGCGCCTACGCCCGCACCTCCACCCAGGCCTGCATTTTCTGTTCCTCTCTTGTCTGCGCTCGCCTTGTTGACTCGAATCGGCTTGCCGTAGATACGGATCTGGTTCATGATCTTCGCGGCGTAGTCGGCATCTTGCTCACTTCCGAATTCGACGAAGCCGTATCCTTGGTGGTTTTGCGTGACGCGGTCTTTTGGAAGGTGTACGTTGACGACTGGGCCGGCTTGCAGCATCAACTCCCAGACGAGTGCGTCGGTGCAGCGCTCGTCGAGATTGCCGACGTACAGCGTACTATCCTTGTCCTGCTCCCAATGGCGCGCGCCCGACATGTTGGCGGCGGTGTCGAAAAGTTGGTGTGTGGGTTGAAGGTGGAAGTTGGAGCGGAAGTTTCGAAAGATGTGAAGTGAAAGATAGCTCAAGTGACTTGTTAATGAAATATTGATGAGGCTGCATGCAGATCTGGAGCTACCTTAGCTCCGCCTCTATTCCGGCTTCCCGGGCGGCGCGGCTGGCTTACGTTGTCCCTCGTTGACTTCACTTTGGACTGCCACTTGCTCTTCTCTCCTTCAAGCGCATGTAGTGAGGCCACAGTGAGGGCACAGCGCCCTTTCTTTCCAACACACCAAATTTCACTTCATATCTTCGCTTCTCGAGTCGACGTCGACCTCTCCAGCTGGAAATCAGCCAGCAAGCACCGAATCATGGCCTTCCTCTTCTATACCCTGTCCTTTGCCTTTCTCATAATCGCGACAGGTACATTCGCCTCACTCCTACCGTAATTGCTCATACTAATCGCTTCGCAGTTCTATATGCTACCCGAAATCTCTGGCGACCATATGCGCCTCCGATACCCTACATTACCGCGCCAGGGACAATCCCTGAACCCCTCTACAACATATCCTCCAGTATCACCAACTACATCGATTCCTGGCGGTATTCACGTCTTCCTACCAACTTTCAAGAAGACGCCGAAGCCGGCTTGCACAGCTCCAACTTCAACCTGGCAGAGAACATCGAAGGCGCCGACTCTAGAAGTGGGCTGGATGAGAATGCGAAGCGCGAGATCTATATCATTATGAGGAGGAGGGGAGTAGTGTTTGATGAGGCGAGAAGAATCTGGATCGAGGAGCGTTTCAGGCGAGAAGGCATTGGAGCTGACGGACGGCCTCTTGACCGAAAAGCGGTGGTCTTCAGCTGATGCGATTTCATTTCCTTTGGGGCAATTCTGGCCCTGAGCGTTTGAAGCGTAAGATCTGAGTGTCTCGCTTTTGAGGTCTACCGATCTCCTATCACATCCGACAGACTTTTCAAGCAATATGAGCAATGCGCAGACCGTTTTCTTGGGACACATTTCACTTGATCAGCGACTCTGCTCCGCATCTGGCATCCTCGGACTCATCTACTGACATGAGAGCTCACTAATTAGAATGCTGCCATCAGTAGGACAAAGAATGATTCGCACCCGTTTGCGATTCTTCCGGCGGCGCCGCGCACAATCATTGGCGAAATGTGTACGACAGCGATGTTGGACGGAGAATGCTATATGATTTACACGGTACCGATTTGACGTCCAAGGTGGAGCTGGCGAGATTCGGAAAGAAGCTGCCATGCTCATCACGGTGTGGCCATCAGAGGACGAAAAACACGACAAATTCGGAACACCAACCTCAACACTGCACGTCAACTTTTCCATCAAATCGTTGCTCTGGCACCGCGCACCAAATATTTACGAGATCGTTACCAAAACCCTTCGGCGCTCGCCTCAACTCCTCACCTCACATCTCCATCCCCCCCCCCCCCTTCGCCGTCCCCTTACCTTATGCAGGAGTCCCTTCTGACAATCCCTAATCGTCGGCTCAATCTATTCCCATCTTACTGGCCCCAAGAATCAAACCATCTCTATCTCCATCTCCATCCCGCAAGGCAGAATGAATGAATGATACCCCAACCACCTCAAAACCTCAAAAAAAAAAAAAAAAACTCAACTCATCCATCCCAAAGACCCGTCTCATACGAAATAGCCCGCGAAATTTCTCAGACGCTGTGTGTGTGTGTGTGCATCGCCGGCGACGATCGCAACCCTAGAGACCGAACGTCGGTTCGACATCAGGAAGGACCATGAACAGAACAGGACAGAACCGGGGGCAGCAGGATGGAGAAACGTAACAACAACACTTATATAAGTATACAAGCCGACCAAGCACGGCACGCGTCACGAAATCTCCATCCCTTGACCCCCCCCTCCCCTCTCCTTCACGAGTAGAAGTTTTCCGTTCAAGAAATAGGTCCTCCGGCTGGGGGCGAGAGAGAGAGAGAGAGAGAGAAAGCTGCGAAATACATTCCTTCCCTCCTTCCTTCCTTCCTTCCTTCCCTGCCTCCCTCAGCATCATGGGATAGGAAACCGAAAAGCAAAAAGCAATCTCAATCTCTCCTTCTCATAGCTCCGCGAGATCCAGGGTTCTACGTATATAGAATCCATGATATATATACATCATACCATACCATCTATCTACTCGGGGGGGATCGATCGTGCGTGGCATCTCTCGTTTTACTTTTTCCGATAGGGTGGGTCGGTGAGTGAGTGGGTGTGGATAAGGTCAAAAAGGTCTGCCTAACTGAAGGGAAGAAGGGAGCAACTTAAGTAACAACCAACAAGAGCTGCTTACTGAACTGAATATCTATGATATGTGTACCACATGATATGACTTGATATAACCAACCGGTAATATTATTTCAAAATTCTTCCGTCTACATTTCTCGCTCGCTCGCTGGCTCGCTCGATTCCCGCTCCCACTCCCCTCCCTTTCTTCGTACCTTGGGGTTTCTTACATCTAGATAGTAGTAACATGAACCAAACCCTTCTTCTCCATGCCTTATTTACCTACCTATCCATCAACCTACGTATGAGGCCGTCGAATATTCCGTTTCGATTCAATTTTAATTTTTGTGAATAATCACTACTACTACTTGCTACTGCTATCTATCTACCGCAATCTCCTGCCATCTCCTGCTCTAACCAATCAATCCATTCAAGAACATCTCCCCCCCCCCAAAAGAAAAAGCCATGGTATCACGGGGGGGTGGTAAACGCTATCAACAGAACAACCACCAAGCAACCAAGTAAGCAAGTAGGTAACCAATGGCCAACTTCTCCATCCATCCCATCCCATCCCAAAACACACAAAAAATAATAGAGACTCACCAAATTCCTCCTCCGACACCAACACCAATGCCAATCGCCCCAAAGTTTTCCCCAAAAACTGTGTGTACTCTTTCGTATCTTCCTCTTGGCCTGACACACACACGCGCACACACACACACACTACTTAGAGAGAGAGAGAGAGAGAGATAGAGAGAGGTAGAGAGAGAAGATCCAGCTCCTTCCTCAAAACCGCCCGCCCGGCCCCTAAAAATCAATGCGTCGTCGTCCCATTAACCCTCTCGGCCCCGGCGGCACTACTCTGTCCCCCCTCCTGCTGATCCTGATCCTTCCCGAGATACCTCTCCATGAAACCCACATAATCAAACTTGGGCAAGTCCCGGTCAGCCTGGAGATCGGGCCCCCGGTGCTTCGGCATCGTCTCCACGAGCTGCTGCACAATCTCATCCGGAATCAACGAGTGCGTCAGATCCAATTCCGTCACGTACGGCTTCCCGTCGGCTACCTCCCGGAAGGACTCGAAGACTTGCTCCGCGGTATTCTGGTCTTCCGTCACGTCCACCATGAAGCGGATGAACTGTTCAAAGGAGACGCTGCCCCCGCGCCCGGCGACTTCAACGAAGCGTTCGTGCATTTCCCGTTCGTCGTAGACGAGGCCGAGCGAGGCGAGCGCGGCGGAGAATTCGAGTTCTTGCAGGGAATTGGACAGGTCGCGGTCGAAGTGGCGGAAGACGGATTCGAATTCTTCGAGTTGGATCGGCGTGAGGTTCGTCATGTTTCTGGCGACCATTTGGTTGTCCAGGAAGGCCAGTTTCTTCTGCACACTGCTCTTCACCAGGCTGAGCTCGTATGCCAATTCATCGTACGTGTACGTCGTGTAATCGTTCTCCTCGATATTGGCTTCCTGACACTGCTTGTCGAGCTTCTCGATGATCTCCAGGTACTGATCAAGCGGCGGCAAGTTTCGTGATATCTGCGATGTATGCTCCAGCTGGTCTTCGACATCGCCTTCGAGGCCGGAAATGCTCACGCTGATGGTCTTGAGCGCCAGCGCAAAGTCATTAGCTTTGTCGGCAAATGTTCTTCGTAGGTTGTTCTTGATGTCGCGGATCGTGTTGTTGATGACTTGGCTTCTGGTACGCTCGGATTCCATTAAGCCATTCCAAGCTTCGTCTGAAGCGGCCAAACTCAGCTCTTGTGGCGCCTCATACGGTCGTAATCGGTATGTATTAAGCTTGGTCTTGATGTTGCCCAGAAGTCCAGCCAAGTCGCTCTTCTCCGCGACCCAGTTGCGCTTTTCCCGTGCCTTGTACGCGGTGAACGACCGACTCTGCTCTTTAGCGTCCGCATATGATCCATCGAAGACCGCCTTCTCCCAGTCCTCCTTTTGCTTTGCAATGGAAGCCAGCAGCGCCCTCATTCTCCTCTCATAGTTATTCTGCATCTCCCAGGCACCCTGCATGTTCGAAACGAACTTCTCCACTCTCCGTCCGGCATTCTCCACCTTCTCCATCTGCGAGAAAGCATGAAACCAGTATGCGATATACGTCATCAGAGACCTCTCATCCGGCTTCGCAACATCACAGACATCTTCCACGTCCAACAGATCCGGAATGCCAATCTCCTTGCTCGCAATGTCAAAAGCAAGCTGCATGTTGCCCCGGTGATCGCTCTTATCCAACTGATCAAAATCAATCAGATCCGGCCGATGGATATCCAAGAGCGCGCAAAACGCCAACCCATCATTCCAACTCCCCGAGAAATCCCTCACGTTCACTTCATCATAACATGCCGTTTTCCGTTGACACCACAGCAGCAACCCTTCCCTCGCACTCAACCCCTGATCGTTGATATCGCTGATCGTGAACCTCAGAATCAGCGTCCATATCAGACCCAGAATAATCTTGCGGTTCCCATCCACGACATCCTCGGCTCCGATATTCGTCAATTGGATCTTCCGGCTCTTGATGAAGTCTAGGGCAATATTGACATTTTCGAAGCGCTGGACGCGGAGTTTAGGGCGTGCTGCGTAGCGGCCGAGGGATTCCTGGGAGAGGATTTCGAGGAGGTGGATGAGGATGATGCCGTCCGCGAGGTCTGTGACGAGGTTCTGTACTTCGACATTGCGTGCTTTGAGTTTGTTGTTGAGCCTGGGAAGAAAGACTACCTGTTAGCCGTGATGTAGGTGCAATTGCGGGTGGTTGCGTACCATTTTCCAAAGGTCTTCTCTTGTACTTTGATCCTGCGCATTCGATTAGCATGTCCCATTCTCTCCCATATTCCACACAGTCGCCATACCAAGTCTGCTCAAGCACCGCCATGATTGTCCCTCTCAATTGTTCGTTCTCATAACTCTGCGAATCCCCAGCAATGCTCTTGTAGTAGACCCTGCGCAAGGAGTATCTGTTGTTAACAAGGTATCGGATGCAGGTTCGACTCGGTCTCGTGAAGTAACTATGGAAGCCGTAGTTGTAGTCAATGAATACAGAAGGAGAAAGTGGTCTTGGAGTCGAGGCCGCGTTTAGGGAGGGTAGGAGAAGAGGAGGTGTCGGGGCTGACTAACCTCGCCCTTTGTTTGTGGCCAATCACTGCCTGCTGTGGGCACGGCAACCGCTCGGCAAGTCCGGCTGTACCTGACTCGGCTGTCCCTGACTTGCGCGTGCGCGCCACGCGACCATTATTCACTTACCATTCTCTAATTTGCGCCCTATATGCGAAGACTCGTAATGCCTTTGTTCTTGATTGGATATCGCGAGATCAAATGATGAATGGTAACGAGCAATTGCATGTATTGAAGACAACTCAATACTCTGACATCGCTTCCCAAACAAGCGCCGTCTCCACCGGCCAAAAGCAGCCAAGGGGGAAAGACAGCCGGGTATCTTGCCATGGCCACACAAGGACCGAAAGCCGCGCCCACGTGGAAAAAAAAAAAAAAAGAATATCCTCACAAGAAAAAGACAATTCTCAAAAGCTCGTTCCAATGGCTTTTTCTGGCCCAACCCTACACAGCGTCATTTTTCTCATATCCGTCATCATCCCATCTCGTCATATCCACCCCCCCTCGACCTCCTCGACAGGAGGATTCGCACTGCTCCCTCTCTGCAGTCGACTCGGCGGCGAGCTCCTTCGCCTCTGCACGATCCGTCCAGCGGAATACAAACACTGCCGGTCACCGTTCGCCGGCCTCCTCATAATCACCGAATCAGTCGCTGCTCGCTCCATATAGCTCGATCGATTCGTGGGAGGAACAGTCAGGTTGCTCTCGTCCTGCTTGTCGCTTCGCTCAAAGTCAGGGCTGTGAGGCACAGACTCCAAGGTCCTCGACATTCTCATCTTACCCACGGAAGATCGGCTCTTGCGTTTGCTGTGCAGCAGATCGGGCATAGACGAGGTTGAGCATGACGACCATCGGGTCGTGTCGCTGCCGATGGGGAGCGAGCGCCCGCTGCTGTCGTAGGAGCCATAGGAGCTTGACTTGCGATGTCGAGATCCTCCGGTGCGCGTGCTTTCCGGGTCACTGATATACCCGGAGAGGTCGTGATCAACCGATGCGAGCTGCATGGTGCTGGAACTCGGGGACTGCAGGTTCAAATCGGAGTTCGTAACACTGAACTTTGGAGGCGGAGTGTTTGGAACCTTGGAGGCTGCCGTGTCGAGAGCGAGAGACGGACTCTTCGAGACCGCTTCCTGAGACGCCGTCCGCGCTGCTGCGAAGCCTTTGTGGCCCACAGAGGACCCGCGTTTATGTTGCTGTTCTGGGGTCTCGGTGTTTGACCGGGATGTGTGCACAGCAGAAGAGGAATCGGAGGTGGTTACGGCAGGCTGTTCGATGCCGGCGGAAAGACGGACGCCGCCACCTTGGCTGTCGATGCTGCCTTCTCCGTCCGGAGAGGGATGACGGGGTGGTTGCTGCTGTAGTGGTTCGTGCTCGTGAATCTCTTGCAAGGGCGACACGCTGTCCCAGTCGTCCAACATGGCCTCAGCGCCACGTTCGTAGGCAAAGTCGATTTCATCTTCCCAGCTAGCCTCACTAAACACTTCGATACGCCGGGTTGAGCTTGAGAGGCTAGATCTGCTCGTTGTCGCTACCGACTTGGAACTCCGCTTAGATGCGTTTGAGGGGGGGGTGTCGACGTTCTTGCCTGGAGGTGGCGGAAACAAGCTGTAGGTCTTGGCGGCCGTCGGGTTGGTCGGCGCCTTGGAATCTTGTTGTGGTTGCTCTTTCCGTGCCGGGATGGGTGGTAATGACTGATTGGCCTTGAAACTTTGCCCTAGTGGCTTGCGCTGCAAGCTCATGGGAGCTGTTCCCGGTGCCAATTCGGGCGCTGCCGCCGCTGGGGCTGGAGTTGGAGCTGGACCTGTTGGCGAGCTGGACTGCACCGTGGGCGGTGCCACATCTTCCGATACTCGGCGATTTGGACTGCCGTGGTCGAAAGACGCATGTACTCGTGAGTATTGGGGTTTCGATCCTGAGGAATTGGATGCGAGCGAGCTCGAAGAAGAGTCATGTTTCGGCTGGCGAATGTTGTAGTTCTGCTGCGGGTTGTTGACCTCGTGCAAGAATTGCAGGGCAGCGTCAGGATCAAACTTCGTTTCTTGAGTCTCATCGAAGAGCGTCTCATCCACGCTGCGGGTCACGGTGTGCGTCGGGGAGGGCTGTGAGAGGGCACTGGCTTGGGAAGAGCGTCTCGAAAGCTCGGCACGAGCACCAGGAGAGAGACTCCGGTCCGGTCGCGTCTCCAGACTCTGAGCCTTGATGCCGTGAAGCTTTTCCTTTGGCTTTTGGTAGGCATTGACGGCCCAGAACTTCGTCTTGAGGTCCTTTTCGTCCACGGTCTCCAGCTTCGGAAGGTGCTTCTTCGCCGTGTGTGTTACATGCTGGAAGTTGAATGGAGGCGAGATGCTCGACTTTTTGCGGTGCAGATAGACTAGGTGTTGTCAGCATATGATCCCATGCGCGAATGATTCCCTCGGTCTGCATACAATCTTCCTCTGATTTGAAGAACTGACCGTCCCTCGCTTCCTGGCCCTCCTTCTTGGCGGCTGTTCCTTCAACGAGAGGAATGAGGTCGGTGTTGACATTGACAAGACCGGCCTTGCACACCTCGGTGGGTTCGGAATGGGTCGAAGGATGCGAGAGGCGGGAGGACGGTCGAGGCGCGTTCGCTTTCCAGGAACGCTTTCGGCCCCTGAACAGGGAATTCCGGAGGCTCTCGAGCGCATCGTTTGGTTTTTTTCGGCTGTCGGTGGACTGCGCGGTACTCGGGCGAGACTGATGCCGCGAGAGAGCTCTCATCGGATCGGCATGCTGATCCTTGCCGTGCGCCATTGTGGCATGAAGGATGTCGGAGATGTCGGCAGCAGCAGGGCGTCTGGAGGCATCGGAATTGGAGCGACTAAAGAGGGACAGTCGCTTTCGTCGACCTTGTTCGGGCGTATGCGTGGACTCGGTGGAAGTATCTTCTGCCATCTCGAGCGTGCGGACGGGAGATGTTCCGCCGATGGCATGGGCATGGTCGTCGGCGGGCTGAGGGGAGGTCAAGCTGGAGGGATCGTCGTAGGACATGAGATTTCGAATTTCGTGAGGGACCCAAGCCATGGTCATTGTGCGGCGCGGTGATTGGCCCGCAAGGGCGTCAGTTGGCGGAGGAGTTCCACATGTGATGATGGTATGTGATGATGATGTATGTTTCGCAGGGCGTAGCAATGGAATCGGACAGTGGGTTGTTGCGATGCGACGTCAGCAGCAGGCGTGGGTGGGAATGGTACAGGAGCGATCGAGACGGGACAGGGTCGGGTGGAGAGGAATGCGAGAGGGCAGAAGGGAGGGGAGGGGGGCAAGAAGGCGCGGATAAGAGGCAGAAGGGACTGTGTGTGGTGTGGGAGAGAGAGAGAGAGTGTGAGAGGGTGATGATGTGAGTGATGAAAGAGGCAAGCAAGCAAGAGGATGACCAGGCTAAATCATCGAGTTTGCGACGTCGTGCAGATAAAACCGTAGCACAGTGGTAGCACGGAAAGAGTGGTGCGATAGGACCGGGGGCCCTCGAATTATTTCGGCGCTTTCCAGGCACGACCGCGATGATCCCAGCGAGGAGCGCAGGAACGGCTGCGGAGAGGCAAAAGCGGCGCCGCAGCATTGGCAGGTATTCTAGTGGCAGCGGACGTGTGGTGGATGGGTCCCATGTCGAGCATCACGCTCGGAGCGCAGACGCCGTGTGTGTGTGTAGTACAGTACAGTATTTTAGGGCAGTGCAGTGTGTGGTGCTTTGGGCGGGTGTGCGGGTGTCATCAGGAGTGGGAGCCGGACGGCACGCGTGTCATGAGGGTCGCGGAAGAGGTGATGAAACGGACGGCAGCGACGTGAACTGTCAGTAGACGAGTGACGGGTGTCCTGCTGGGCATCCTCGTGCGGTACGACATGCGCCGCCTCGTGTGGTCCACGGTTCATCAGAGGATACGAAGGGAGTACTGTATCCATCTCCAGTGCAGTCCTCGGGCAGACGCTCGCTCGCTCGCTCGCTCGGGGCCCAGAGGTCAGGACTCAGGACTCAGGAGCGGCAGAGCCCGGGGCCTCGTCGACGGGCGATATCTGGTCGGTGCGCGAGGGGAGCAGCGGAAGGACAGGCGTGGGACAGGTTGGCAGCGTGGACAGGCATGGTAGATGCCCGTACGAGACCGTGTGTGGTGTTGGTTGCGGGAGAGGCGCATGGGTGCTCCCTGTCGGCAAGGTGAAACGGGAGGCCTCGGGCTGCATGAAGCGACTGCTCCCGGAGCGGTTAGGTTCGTTGACATTAAGCTGAATGGGTGAAGGTGGGAGCGGGTCGCGGAGAGGGCTCGGCGCGGCGCGGTGTAGTGCGGTGCGGTGCGGTGCAGTGCAGTGCAGTGCGATGTGCGGTCGCTCTGAGATGCAGCGGATGGTAATGTAGTCTGGCGGCAGGACGGGCGATGAAATTGTGTGTGGGTGATGACGAGATGGTCTTGGCGGGGAGATGGGACAGCCAGCGGAGAGGAGGGCGAGATGGTCTTGGCGGCGAGCGGCGAGCGGCGAGCGGGACGGGAGGGCGGCGACACTTCCATTACTTGGCGTGGCGTGGCGTGGCGGGGAGGAGGGATGCGGGAGGATGCGGGAGGATGCGGGAGGATGCGGGAGGACAGGACAGCGTGGACGCGCCGCGTGTGGTGAAGTTCTTACGCGGCACGCACAGCACGGGACGGGAGACGGGAGACGGGAGGGCAGCACACACCACCGTGGACCTCCAGCTCAGGGCGGGGCGGAGGGCTGAAACCTAAGCACTGTGCACAGTAGGTGAGGGCTCGGCATCGGGTAGACCCGCCCACCATCGTCCCGCCCATCTTATCACATGCTACACGCTATCGCCCATCTCATCACATGCTATGTACACGCTATCCAGCCCGCGCCGCTCGCTCTCGTGTGTCGCGCCAGCACGGACCGAGACGGCGGCGTCGACGCGCGGTGGAGACGACAGGACACGAGGCCCAAATCGAGGCCGCCATGGGAACACATCGCTCGCCTCCTTTTCATCATCCTCTTCTCCTTTGAGCCCAACACTCCCGATCTCGTCTCCTCGCACTGCCATTCCCGGACGGCGAAAATGCCACCGCCGCCCGATATGGCCATCACCTCCCAATTCTTCGAGACGGTGCAACAATCCCTTCGGAACCCATCATCTTGTCCCTGGTCGGCGCCGGCTGTGGTGGCACCCTCTCACCGTGCTCCAACGCCCACGAGACCGGTGCCAGCGTTGCCCCGACATGCGAGATGCATTTGGCGCCGCCCTGTGCAATATGCATAGTGCCATGTGCATCCCTATGCAGATGGCGCCCCCCCCCCGGTCCATCGTCCCCCTCCCGCCCTCCCTCTCGCGCTGCGCCGTTGAGACCGCAGCCTTGTCTTGACTTCAGCCCTTCACACTTGCTCCCTCATCATTATTATCATTCCACAGAGTGCAGAAATCTCGTTGCTGTGCCCTCCGGCCTGTGAGTGCAGCGAGAAAGTCCATCCAAAGTCTAACAGCTGCTTGGCAGCGCTAGAAGAACCCTAGGGTCACCTGAAATCTCCGAGGCTGACGTACAGACGAAGGGATCTTGTTGTCGACCACACCGAACCACAACACCATTGACGCGCCGCCGATCCGTCCTCGTCTTCATCGCTGGGATTCCCCGGAATACTTGTTTACATACTTGCTCTCCCTGCACGATCTGGGCGCGGCACTCTGGACGAAATGACGCTCGGCCTCTGCTGATCCAATGCCCATTGCGTTGAATGTACTGCTGTATTGCATATTGCCACATCCAGCCGATGGTACCTGCAGCAGGAAACGTTGCTCCTCGGCACTGCATTGCGCCTTTGATCGGCGTGCGCCCATCCGGTCTCACCTCCCACAGATCTTGGCTACGATCGCTTCTCCGGCGACGCATTATACCCCTCCCACTAACTCACAGTCGAAGTAGATTCGGGAGCACTCATGGTAGAAGAGTCCCCTAAAAGAGAGGGAGGATCTCGTATGGAAAGACCTACATCGCAGAAAGCCGGTGAGAGGTAACACTAATGAAGGTCTATTAATTGCTTCAAATATTGATGCAGCCGGGGTCTCGGTACCTTAGTTACGTATGAGCCTCTCCGCCGATCACTATGTGTCCAGCGTATCCGTCGAACTCTATGTATCCAATGTATCCAGTCTCCCGGGATCATACAGTTTGCACACCGACGCGCACCGCTGCAACTGCCAGCCAGCAGGAGTGGGAAGCGGATGCTGCCATCTCATCATTATACATGGCGTCCGCGTCTGCTCCAGTCCACGGGCCCCCCGAGCCTCGAAGAAATCTGGCAACGAGTATACCTGTCTACTACCATCTGCATCTGCGGCACCACCCACACACAGGCGCCTGTAAGGAGAAGTGCTTGGATCGTGGAAGAAGCTGTCCCTGCTCTCGATCTCATTTTGAGGGGGAAAAAAAAGGAGACGGTAATCATGGCACCCACCGCTCACATCGGATTCTCAACGCACTTGTTGACGCCCGAACGAATCCGCAATCCGCAATACAACGACCTAATAAAGGTACGGACGGACTGGCTTTGGTAAGCGAGCGAGCGGAGCGGGGCGGGGTGATTGTCATTCTTTTTGTGCCCAGGCCACGCTGGTCATCAATATTATTGACCCTCGCTGCCCGGGGGACTCCCCCGACCGAGCAAAGAGCAAGAGCCTGCCCTGGTGGGTCGTCGTCGACACCACGCCAAGCTTTTGACGCCTACTGTACCTACCTATAACCGACCGAGTATTATATAGCTCCGTCATCACGACAAATCTCATCACCCTTACTTATTACTTATTAACGTTTCGGCATACGAGATCTATAATAATAACGATACTCTTTAGTATACGCGGACGGGTTTTTAGCACCGTATTGTAGACAACCTCTCCTACTCGTACTCGAGCCTACTTTGCTTTACTGTTCCCGGTAGACTAGTTATTATATATATTAAGTTCGAACGTAAAATATAGGTTCTAGGCTATCTTTCTTTACCGACTTAACCGACTTAATAATTAAGCTCGACCCGACTATAGGGCCCGCGGTTACAAAGTAAGGAGATTATAACTCTTTAGCTTCTTAAAGCCTCCTCCTTATTATATATAAGAAAAAATATCTTACTCCTTATATATATACGTATAAATAATAATAGTTAATAATAGGTAGGTTACTAGGGTACCTTGTTATATTAATACAGTAGGCGTTTATTACCCGCCTACCCGCCCGCTCGCCCGCTCGCGCCTCCTAACCTCTAAACCGTTTAATTAGATTACGTACCGTACCGTATATACGTCTTCTCCGCTAAAACCTTAGGTTAGAGCCTCCTCCTCCTCCTCCTTCCTCCTCTCCTCTTTATCGTAGCGGTATGTACTCCTACGTACATATACCGTAGTAGCGCTATATTATAAAATTTCAAAGAAAGTAAAGCTTAACGAATTAAAGATTATAGGTAGGTAGGTACGAATCCGAGCTAAAAAGGTTTATAAGTATTAAGGTAACCCTATATATAATAGGGCTAGGCGTACCTTGCCTTACCTTTACTATAAGGGTAGCTAGTATAAGGAAGAGAAGCTAGAGTAAATACTAAAGTTAAACGCTAAGAGGCTAGCTGACTTAGCGCTAGCGGAGCGTATATAAGCCGCCTACGGCGGAATTAGACTTACTTCCTTAGAGATTAGTCTTACTATAAATCGAGTAATTACTTAGAGTACCTTATATATTATTCTATCTACTATTATATATAGTTACTATCTAAAAAGGCGTCTAAGCTATATAGATTATACTATTAGTATCTAAAGTATAGTACTTCGTCTCTACGCTTATTACGTCTACGCCTATTATAATAATAGTTATAGTTATAGTTATTCTCTAAGTAGTCGCTAGGACTACTAGATAGAGATAGAGAGTAGTTACGGTAGTAATAGCGAGTAGGCTCTTTATAGTAGCGTAGTCTCTCTAATCGATATAATAGCTTAAAGTAGTAATTATTATTATCTAAGAAGCTATTAGAAGAGCTATTATTCTAATAGTAATAGTATCTCCGATCTTATACTC